GTCATCTGCATAAGCTTGCAGATCTACTTTTTTCTGTCGGGAGCATCAAGCGGACTATCCATCAGGAGCGACCACAGAACAAAAGATTCTGAATCTAATGGTTTCGCCTTGAAGGTCACAGTTGCAGTACTGTTTACCAGTATGGCATAGATCCAGCCAGTTATTGTCGATTCTATTCTTTTCCTAGCCGAAGGTGATCCTATAAATTTAGGTAGTGCATTGTCAAATGCTGCTTCAATATCGAGAAATAGAGCAACAACAATCGCCTTGTTGTCAAAGGATTGGTAAATTTTGTCTGCGATGACGATACTGTGATTCAGAAAAATGTTCACAAGTGGTAGAAACTCTTCACAGAAGGTCGAGAAGATGTGAATGATGATGCTCGCATGAACAACCGATAAAAATGTTATTGAGAATGGTTGAATCACTATTAAAGAAGTTGCTGGAGAGTGGCGGCATATCGGTTGGCTCATGCCATGCAATTTTTTCGAAAAACATTTTCATGAATCGTGTGACAGCAATCTTTGTTCCAAAATTGCTGAATGCTTACAAAAAAAACCTAGTATGAGCATAACTCAAGAATTGTTAAATGACGTCAATAGCGATCCAGATCTGCTCGAAAAGGTCATAGCTGGTAAACAATCATTGGTATGTGCGACGATGAAGAAAATAAAAATGGAATTGCTGAGAGAGCTCATGGACATCCCAAAAAGTGCATATCGGAACTGTTTCGAGGGTTGGAGAAAATCATTCCCAATGGTGAACTTCGAAGTTTCGGATCAAGACACTTGTCTTATCATCATTTTGAATAACATCAGAAGGAGCATATATGTCTGTCATAACATTACGACTTCACGTCACAGAAAGAAACAAATCTAATTTTTTTGTTTCATTCGTATGCTTAGTTGATTCCATCCTCGATAGGAAGACTTAACAGAGTGTCTCTGGTCTGGATTACTGCCCATACTAACCTGGAAGGCAATGAGGCTGCTGAGTCTCTTGCAAAGGAGGGTGCTGCAAACAGCTTCAAAGGACCAGAACCTGTCATTGGCATCGCTTTAGGGCTTTGCCAAACAAAGATTGAACACCTGGATGGCAAGAAGATGCATAGACCTCTGGCATAATCTTCCAAGATTGGCTCACTTCAAGGTTTATTCACCCTCCGAAGTTTGATACCAAACAGTTGATCGACTACAGTATGAATGAACTACAATGTCTAACAGGCCTTCTCACAGGTCACTGTTATTTTAATTACCATATGCAAAGACTCTGACTGTCGGAGGACAGTGTGTGTCGCCTCTTTTTGAAAAATGAAAACATATTAATTTGTCCGCTTTTTAATCTATTGTTGACAAATTAATTTGCAGGTAGTGGTTCCACTAGTTAATTACCGAAAAATCAATTAGGATAATCATCATTTAACAAACAAAGTCCACATCGGACCAAAAAACTTTAGGTATATAAACAGCTAACCCTTGTCTTTAGATTCAGTATCAATTTGCTTCTCCTGAAGATGCTAACCTTGTTAGCGAAACGCGCGTCGAGTGCAAAAATATCAGTTTGGTGTTGATCTCTATAAAAAGTTTTCAAAAATCCGTTTGCAAAACCACTCACAACCTTACCTAACCCCACGAGCATACGGCACTGATAAAGAAATATTGTGAAACGGACAAAAAATTAGTATTCAGCCAGTACAGCTATCCGAGCATTTACTCCTCAACTACATTTGATAGCACGTTTACTAACTATCTGGGCGACTAGGGGCCACAGACAAGAAATGTTTATGACTGTACTCTTATTTTAATTGCCGTTCCAATTGGGAATGGATAGACTATACGTCATGACAATCGTTCCCTCATTTGATTGAATCGCAGCCAAAATAATCTTTTTTGAAACGAAAGATCTGTAAACTAACAACTATCTGCTCTTAATATTTATTTCTTCCGAGGGATCCAATCCTCTCTACTCGGGAACACTACTTTATAAGGCAGTTCGTAGTTGACAGTTAAAGATATAAAGTCAGAGGTCATTCCCAGAATGCTGTGATTTCCAGTGTCAACCGGCAGTCTGTTGAACTCCGCAGTAGATTGATTTGAGCAATTTGAGCATATATAGAGTCGCACCCCTACGAACAACAACCCTCAGAAGTCGAAACTTGTGCGAGCTAAGGATTAACGAGGTCTTACCTTTTAACGTGTGATTCCTAACACGGGTTGGACGATAGCAAGTGAAGATTGATCGTTCAGACTAGGGCTTGAACTACCGACCAACACGGCAGTCAATTCGAGTGAGTGAACAAATCACCCACGCCGAACCGCTTGGCTACCGACTGACCAAATGTTACTCAAATACGTTATATATTTTCATCAAGGGCAATTTCATCACTTTTTGGACAGTAATGTAGAGCATACACAGGTTCTTTCAGATATAAACTAAAAACATTTGTTATGGAATTGAAACAGATATCATTCACATAAACGCTCCACAATGTGAAACAGTACCAAAATAAAATGTTATTTGAATGGAATAATATCATTCCCAATGTTAAACTTCGAAGTTTCGGATCAAGACACTTGTCTTATCATCATTTTGGATAACATCAGAAGGAGCATATATGTCTGTCATAACATTTCGACTTCACGTCACAGAAAGAAACAAATCTAATTTTTTTGTTTCATTCGTATGCTTAGTTGATTCCATCCTCGATAGGAAGACTTAACAGAGTGTCTCTGGTTTGGATTACTGCCCATACTAACCTGGAAGGCAATGAGGCTGCTGAGTCTCTTGCAAAGGAGGGTGCTGCAAACAGCTTCAAAGGACCAGAACCTGTCATTGGCATCGCTTCAGGGCTTTGCCAAACAAAGATTGAACACCTGGATGGCAAGAAGATGCATAGACCTCTGGCATAATCTTCCAAGATTGGCTCACTTCAAGGTTTATTCACCCTCCGAAGCTTGATACCAAACAGTTGATCGACTACAGTATGGATGAACTACGATGTCTAACAGGCCTTCTCACAGGTCACTGTCATTTTAATTATCATATGCAAAGACTCTGACTGTCGGAGAACAGTGTGTGTCGCCTCTTTTTGAAAAATGAAAACATATTAATTTGTCCGCTTTTCAATCTATTGTTGACAAATCAATTTGCAGGTAGTGGTTTACAAAAAATTAGTATTCAGCCAGTCCAGCTAGCCGAGCATTTACTCCTCAACTACATTTGATAGCACGTTTACTAACTATCTGGGCGACTAGGGGTCACAGACAAGAAATGTTTATGACTGTACTCTTATTTTAATTGCCGTTCCAATTGGGAATGGATTGACTATACGCCATGACAATCGTTCCCTCATTTGATTGAATCGCAGCCAAAAGAATCTTTTTTGAAACGAAAGGGTTATATTTTTAGCAGAGGTTAATTTTTTGGGAAAGAAAGTTACTGAATTTTTAATTCTCCATCTTGATACAATCAATCTTTTAAATCAATCTTTTAAAAAAATAACCATTCCTAAACATATAAACTTTTCAATTTGTATAGAAATGCATAATTTTTTATTCGTCGTCATTGGTATTTGAAATTATGGTCTGATATCTAACAAGGGATAAATATTTCGAGAATGGTTTCATCAAAATTTGATATGATATATTCTAGTGCAGAGTTTCTATTGGTTTGTTATTGTTATTGAACTGATATTTTGAAGATGACTGACCTTTTGTACATTAATAAACACAAATAATATGAATTGAAATATGTTGAAATCAAGAGTATAACGAGAATTCCAGTTATCTGGAAAAATTCCAATAAGTATTTACTGGGATGATTTCAGTAGAAACGAAGGGGCAATGAACATCAATGAAGTCTGTTTACTTGTCCTTGGAGGTACACAAACAAGGTCAGGTAATCCAATTAAGAGACACCAAGCCACGCCCACTAATAATAATAATATAAAACCAGAGTCAAATACGAGCATGGTAAAACCCTGAAGAGGCATAAGCCTACAGCAGGGCCACACACAAAACACACTTCAAAATATTTTGTAATTATTTCTTGAAAGATCAAAAAATGTTTGACTTGACTTTGACTTGAGCATCGTAGTTGATGCGGTTGAAACGACGGAAACAACAACTCAAGCACCAGCTCGAGCACTGCGACCGTCTTTAAAGTCTACCGCAGTAGTAGATGAAACATTAGGCATAAGAACCTGCTTTCATATGTTAGAAATGTGTTTGAAGATAGACAAATGTTTTTTTTATCATTGGGAGATAAATAGTAAGAACGTTGAAATGAAAAACTTTCGTTTTTTTTTTCCTTAAAGATATCACATATCTATTGCAAGAGATGAGACTAATTTATTCTTTTTCCAATGGATATTTGTTAAAAAAAATCTCACATATGGTGGGGGAGTCGCGAAATTCCCAGACCCATCAATTACTCCGCAACCGATCATCCAAATTCAGTATAGTGAAGGTTGTTGTATAGAGAACTGAAATACCTTTCGAACGAAGAGTAACCCCCCTTTCTGATTGAAAAAATTATAGAACCCTTTTGGCGGCAAGTGATGTCACACCATTGGATTTCTCATCAAAAAGTATTGAAAATTATTCATTTTTACAAAATTGTTGTCACCCTCTGATATATTGCCCCCTCCGAGAATTGAGGGGGTGGGAGACTATTTACGCCCATACTGCATAATATTTGTTCGAGTATTTCTTGCGCTCCATTGAACTGAATTATCATGATATGAAAAATCAAACGTAACATAGCAAACTGAGGCAAAACATGGTTTCACGAATTTTATGGCCTAGATTCCAATTTTTCATAGTGTTTGAAAACCAAAAGATTATCAGAGCTGTTGAATGATGTATATTTATAGCTTGGATTTCATGTGAGCCTGAAAATATCCACAAAGCTAGAAGAACAAACCACGTGATTATTAGCAAATAGGGCCTATTCATACCATAAACCCATCCCACATAAACTCATTATTCGAAAATTTTCAGGTGGTGGAGTGATAGGATGCAGCACTCTCTATCACCTCTGCAAGAGAGGTATCAATGCGATTTTACTGGAGAAAAGCAAAATCACAAGCGGTACAACATGGCACAGTGGCGCTATCGTCTGGAGTTTGCGAGGAAACGATGTAGATACTGTGATGCTGCAGAAAACACGAACCCTTTTAGCAAATTTGGAAGAGGAGACCGGTATCAACTCTGGATGGATTAATAATGGAGGGATTTTCATTGCAAGAACTCCGGTAAGTTATCTGTTAAAATAGTATAACTTTTGTGAATGACGTTATATGTATTTCAAAATGTATCCGTAATTTGGAAGACAACTTTTTGTAAAAGGGTCAATGGTTTTTCACGTTTTCCCGGTATATCCGCAATTTGGAAGACAACTTTTTGTTAAAGAATCAATGATTTTTGACGTTTTCTGGGCTTTCAATCTTCTATAATCTATGATTAAATCAAGATCAACAAAGAACTTGCTAAAGTAAAATAAATGACAAATCGAAAACTTACTGGTCAGTGAGTATCTTGGGGGGTCTAATAAGTTAGTTATGTGTTATACTTATGAATTTCACTGATAGAGAGTTTGGATTTCATTGAGTGATCTGAGCGAGAAAGGAAGTATTATTGAAAATATTTTGAAAGAAAATGCGTTTCTGGAACTTTGTAAAAAGTGATAATTGACCCATACAGATACACGATTTCTTGAATTTTATCAATGTAATTTGTTATACAGTGTGTAAAAGCCAAATGGAGTAAATTCATTATTTCGGTTACTGTACATATTAAAAAAAAATCCCGAAATACGTCAAATGTAAATTATGATTTGACATTCTTCAACGTGAAAATGCCACCCCTACCTTCAACCCCCTTCGAATGACAGGTACGACTCCCAATTTTTTAAAAGGAAAGTATAGGTTTGTGATATATCGTTTGACAGGTCTCTTCATTCACGGTTCAAAAATGTTACTGCTTTCAAGTTTATCGCAACAATTAAGATAAAATGAATTAAAATCATGTGCTTATCGAAATTCGATAAAATATACTCAAAAACTAAAATGTAATGTAAAACGTAATGAAATGTAGGATACGAAAAAGAACCATAAATGTTAACGAAGTAGATGTTCAGAATGTTCACCGCGAAGGTCTGGGCAACATCCTAATAAATAAAACTCTCTTCTAACGTTATTAAAAATATCATGCGTGACCGACCTAATCGCAAGCGTAATTAGTCCTTTCAAGTCATTCAAATCTGAAGGTTTAGTTCTGTACACATTGCTCTTTACATATCGCCATAAAAATAAATCTAATGATTTAAGATCAGGTGATCGCTATGGCCATTCAATCAATCCTCGCCTCCCTTTCCATCGATTGGGAAATGTTGTATCGAGATATTGCCACACATTAACTCGATAATGTGTTGGTGCTCCATACTGCTGAAACAATATCGAATTCACTGGAATTTGAAGGTTTCCTGGATCAGGATATAAATTTGCTGAACTTGGAATGACATCATTTTGAAGTAGTGCCAAATAATTAACGCCATTCAATTTGCCGTCAATGAAAAAGGAATCAATGATATGATTTCCTATAATCCCAACCCAAATATTAACCTATTGAGGGTATTGCATATGTTCCTCTCTCATCCAGTGAGGATTTTTCGTTGACCAGTAGCGGCAATCTTTCCGACTAGCATAACCGTTAAGAGACAAAGTACACTCATTATGTATGGCTAACATTGAATGTAGTGGATGCCTGTCTACTCGATGTATGTGGGTTCTCCTCAAACTCAAGCATAACATCTAATTTGAGTTCATCAATCTTTGCATTTGCTGCTGCTTTTTTATCTGCTTCTCTATTTTGCTTATTGTTCCTTGAGATATGAGCGGTGAATTGGAAAATTTATCATGAAATAGGCGAGGTACTTCCTGTTGTGTTCGGGATACATCTCCATTACCAATCATTTGTAATACTCTTATTCTATGGAAAAGAAAGTTTTTGGCTTTCTACTACTCCATCTTGATACAAAAAAATGTGGGCATCTTCCAAAGAAAGGAAGGAAGTAATCAATTTGAAAATAAGTAACTCTATGCATGGATGTGTAGATCATGCAAAGAAGCAACTTTCAGACACAAACTGGAAGAAAGCCCTCCTGGAACAGCTATTTTCATATAAACATTGAATTACACTGAATTAATTCGAAACAAAAACTTCTATATGAACACTGAATTATACAGAAGATACTTTTCCCTATTCAGTTTGTATTCCAAACATTCGCTATGAAATAAAATCAGATATCATTCACAAATTGCAACAAATTGCAAGTAACTCTATACATGCATGTGTAGATCATGCAAACAAGCAACTTTCAGACACAAACTGGAAGAAAGCATTTTCGTTAATCTAACCATTAATCTAACTTGAACATACAATGATCAACGGAAAAACAGATTTTTTTTATACAAAACTAGTTGACAAAGCGTTTTAAACTAACATTGCCACGAAAATCAATGAAAGTTTTTTGAAGGATACCATCTAAAAAAGACATTGCTATGGTTTTTCCTCGGCCGCGAAAGTCCTAATCAATTTATCAACATCGTATTTTTGTAACTAACATCAACAGACAAAATTCTAATACATATGTCTAGTTGTCATAAAAAAGTATAATGATATAATATATAACATTTTTTCGTTCAAGTTCNTTTTAATGATAGATTTGCGAGGTTTGTGGTCTGTTTCAATTGTTTTTTTTTCTATACACATATTGATGAATTTTTTCTACTTCTAATACAATACTTGATAACTATTTTTCAATTTCTGCAAAATTCTGTTCAATTTGTGTTAACGATCTAGAGCGATAATCTATTGGATGAGAATTTTGTAGTAAACAAAAGATTAACGAATGTATCACTATGTATAGGTAACCAGCACCATTCAACATCACATTTCAGTAAATTTCGTAAGGGTGAATTGATTTCGGAATAATGTGGAATGTATTTTGATAGGTAACCTTCTCATATCTTCTTTATTTTCAAGCAATTCCATTTCAGTTATGACTCTTATCCTCAACGTTCATCTTCCGAAGCATAGTATGCACATTGGGTAGCCTGGAATCTCATATAGATTGAAATCATCTTGATAGCATAACATCCTGAGACTATTTTTCAAGAGGTTTCTTATTTGGTCCCCAAATTTCAGTATCTCATATCTCCAGACCCAAGAATTCCGTAAAAAGCTTTTTTCAATAGTGGTTTCTTCCAAAAGAATCACTGGTGGATAGATTTAAAATTAAGTGGATTGGTTTCTCTTTTATAAAAGTACTAAGAGACTAGCATTACAACACAATTTGACTATCTTAAGAGTTCACTTGACACTGACAAAAAGGATGTTTTTTCCATGCCACATAATTGAGGTATCACCAGCGACCATTGTGATATTCTCCATTATATTTATGAAGAGTTGTGGATGTGCTGACGAATTGACTTGTTTCTGCTAGATGAGAGTGCATCCATACTTTTCGATCCAAAATGTTGCAGTAGTATTATATGATCGACGCAGTCAGAAACTTTCGATAGATCACAAAACACCGCAACCAAAGCTTCCCCATCATTAACATCCTCGTCATTCAAATGTAAATATTACAAATCAAATGATATTTCGTTATTTATCATGTTATAGTGATAACTGCGAATGAAACAATCGATTGTTTACCCATTAGAATCGCGAGTATACAATAATTACTAATAATTCAATAGCAAACAATGTTTATAAACGTAACAACTTCAACCTCAATATTGATTAGTAATGGTTGATTGTATCAGCCTAATAGGTATTTCGATGACATTCTTGAGATGAAATTTATCGCTTGGAATGACGGAATGACTTAAGTACGATTAATAAATGTTTTTTAATTCATGAATCATCTGTGAATTTCAGGAAAGGTTGGAGGAATACAAACGATTTCATACCCTAGGGCATATGTTTAATCTGGAGAGCCACGTAATTTCTCCGAAGGAAGCTCAGAAGATTTGCCCAATACTTGATCCGAAATCATTTTATGGAGCACTGTGGTCGCCTGGAGATGGATACACCGATCCCTCTATGTACTGTGCAGCTTTACTGAAAGGTTCTAAGAATAAAGGAGGGCAAGTGAGTATAAAATGATCCAACTTTTAATCAATGTGTATCTAGAGAGACAAACTATATGATCCTTACTTTTGTTGCAACTCTCTTCAGAAAATGTGGTGAAGCAAGACTGCAGAACGTGTGTGGCCCAAAGTGAGTCACGTTATTACCTGCACAACCTCAGTGATATCAATTTAGGTCCGCAAATCTTGGAAGATCTATTCCATATGTTGATTATCAATCTTAGTGCTGATATTAGAGTTGTGATTAGTCCTTATATATGTAGAAAGATAAAATGTTTAATAATGATACGAAATTCAGTTATATCAAGACCGCAGATCTTCTCTTCAGCATTCATCTCTATGTCCAAGAGGCATTCACTTGCCTTGGCAGAAACGAAATCGCTACTACAGGTTACTACAGAGAGATAATATATTTCTTGCCGAGGATATAATTGTCATTACAACTTTCTTCAACTTGTCTTGTTGTAGCACAATTGACTTCAGGACAGGTTATTTTCAGTAGATTTCCAATTGAATGCCGTCATAGCATTTTGTGTCAAGTACCCTCTGGATTAGACTGTTAACACATCAGTATGACCTCATAATCCAATTCCAAAATGTGGAATTTGACAATTTGGTTCAGAAAAACACGCTTTTTTGTTATTTCGTTGCGACCAGCATCTATGTATTATTCGAAATTTGTTTACCATCATAGTAACATTCGTTGTCAGGAAATTCAAGTTGTCTAGTAACTATTAATGTATAGTGTGTACCACTGTTCAGTGTGTGTACCACTGGGCAACAGCTGACCCGCGGGCCGGATCCGGCCCGCTGTATGATTTGATCCGGCCCGCGAGACATTTTTGAAAACCTAATTTAAAAAAAACATTGTGTTAAAAAAAAGCTAAAAATTATTGTATAACACATAACATGTAAACATAAATTTTAAATTTTCATGTATACATAATATTAAGAATTCAAGTAGTTACAGATATTGGCAGTTTTAGATTGAATACAATTTGCCTATATAGCGGGTGGATGGCCCGAACTTTAGTTCAGTTCTACTTGAGCTACCGAGGTGAAAACTTCGACGAGCGATATCCCTAGCGAACTGTTAGTGCCGTCAATTTACTTTGTGACTTTGTGTGCATCTTGGGTGCTTACTAATTATATTTTGTATACGAAAATGATGTCTGGTGGAAAAAACGAAAAGCAGATGCACAGGTCGCCAGTTTCAAGAAAAATGAACTGAAGAATTCTTTTTTATCCTGCACAATGGTGAGCCTATTTGTTTGCTGTGTAATGAATCCATTTCAGTGATGAAAGAATTCAATATAAAGAGGCATTACTCAACTAAGCATCCTACGCTGCAATCACTAACAGGCAAACAAGAAAAGACAAAATCCAGAAGCTTACTGCAAATTTTGAAAAGCAGCAGCAAATGTTTCATAAACAAAGAACACTACTTGATAATGTTGTGAAAGCTAGTTTTATAATTAGTTCAAAATTGGCAAAGTCATGAAAACCATTTTCCGAAGGCGAATTTATCAAGGAGTGTATGTTAGAAGTTTGCAATGTTTTGTGTCTTGAAAAGGAAAATTAATTTGAAAAAATTAGTTTGTCAAGACGAACTGTTGTCCGAAGTATAGAAAAGATGGCCAATGATATAAAAACAACATTGACTGACCGTATGGCTGATTTTGAATCATTTTCCATAGCATTAGACGAGAACACCGATTTGTCGGATACAGCTCAACTGGCTATATTTATCCGAGGTGTTGATAAAGAATTCACTGATAAAGAATTACTGAGAAATTGCTTGTTTTACAGCCGCTAAAAGGAAGCACTACAGGAGAGGACATTTTCAATGAAGTTCAAAAGGTATTTACAAGTTTTGCCTTGCCTTGATCAAAATTAGTTGGAGTATGCACAGATGGTACACCTTCTATGATCGGCTTACGTAAAGGTTTCATCGGAATTTTTAACGAAAAAGCAAAGGAATTGAATGTGCAAAACGATGAATTGATAGTCCTTCACTGCATTATCCACCAACAGAACTTGTGTTCTAAGTCCATTCGACTCCAGAATGTTATGAATGTGGTAGTAAAAACCATCAATTTGATTCGATCCCGAGGGCTTAATCATTGTCGATTCAAACCGTTTCTGGATGAAATATCAGCCGAATATGATGACGTAACATAACATTCTGAAGTGAGATGGCTAAGCAAAGGAAAAATGCTGAAACGGTTTTACAAGCTTATAATTGAGATAAATAACTTTATGCAAATAAAAGATAAACCACTATCTGAATTTGGTGACCCAAAATGGTCAACTTCACTGGCTTTATGAATGATTCGAATTTGGAACTTCAAAAACATTGACAGTTAGTTAATGATTTGTACAGCCATTTGAAAGCGTTTCAGAATTAAATCCGCTTGTGGGAAGCACAGATGCTGTCTGAAAACAGTTACCATTTCATCCCGCTCTCTGCGTGTGAGAATATTGCTTATGCTCAAAATGCTGAAGACCTCAAGGTACTGTCAGATCAATTTTCGAACAGATTTAGCGATTTAAGACACATGGAAAACTGTTTCAATTTATTTGCTACTCCAACTAAAAGTAATGTAAGAAATGCTCCAATACACTTGCAAATGGAGTTGATCGAGATTCAAGAAAACTCAGTCCTAAAATCTGAATTTGAAGACGTGGAGTTGTGTGATTTCTACAAAAAATACCTCGAAGAAGACCATTTTCCGCAGCTTAGAAAATTCGCAAGAAGATTGATTTGTACGTTTGGCAGTACTTATAAATGCGAACAGTTCTTTTCACTGATGAAAGTTAATAAATCGAAATATCGTACAAGGTTGACTGACGATAATTTGGAAAATTCTTTACGTCTTTGTATCAGTGGAATTAATCCAAACATCGATGGATTAGTTTCCCAAATTCAAGCTCAAGTGTCTCATTGATTTCGGTATTGCTATTTAACTTTCGTAGTTTGTAACAATTCCAAATTTAACGCGTTAATTATAATGTTATTATTCCATTGTGTTATTTTAATAAATTGATATTATAATGACATTGTCGTATTATTTCACGTCTGATATCTATCGCAAAAAATTATGAGCACTATAACACTACTTCAAAATGTACTACTTTTAAACGCGGCTCGCATTTGCACACTAAAGTTTGGCCCACAACATGTTGAAGGGTGCCCACCCCTGAGTTAAACTCTCGCTGAGACTTCCAGAAATTTCATAAGTAAAATTTTCTCGTTCTCAACAATTTTTCCAGTAACATTGATATATCATACCTGAGAAAAGAGGTTTTCACTGCACTGTCAAAGAATTTGTTTCTCAGAAACATTTTTGTAGTAAGTATTCTGCCCGATGCTAAAATAAACCATTTTTCAAAAGATTCCTTGAAATGTCTGTTTTCATCGAAAAGTTTGGTATGAGTTTCGATACATACAATGTGTCAATTTTAAAACTTACAATGGGCTATATCTCACGAACGAAAGCTGATATCGAAAAATGCTTGAAACCGTTTCTAGGATAGTAAGGGGGAACTGAAGTGAGATGAAAGAGAACTCACCCTCATGAACCCCCTAGGCCCCACCCACCAAATCTCAAAAAGTTTAAATTGCAAACCCCTACTTGTGATACATCATTGAAACGACTATAAGAAATGCTATCCAATTATACATAATAATTGTACAGGGTGAAACAATACTTGTGAAACTTTGGCTTAAATGAAATATTTGATGAGATTTTTGTTGAATTAAGTAAATGTTTTCAAAGTGGATTCCATTGTTTTGTAAACAATAATACAGCGTAATACAAAGAATGATACAGCCTATTGTCAAAGTCTGTTATTTGTAATGCTACCTCCAGGACTATCATTTTAAATGATAAATGTACTTCGATTCTTTTTTTGTTGAATAAAAACTTAATTTGCCGTTTTTGCTAAACAAGTTGGAATGATCTGTTTTTTGGGTTCTGTTAGAGTCAATAATTTTTGATTTGTTTGAGACTTTCAAATGTCATTAGTTTTCATTATTTGTATGATCTGTACTGTCATTGAGTTGTAGTTATCACCATGGTTTACAGTATACCTGAGCGCGTGGAGATAATTTTCATATTTGCCTCCCAGAACCAGTGTTTAAAAACAGCTCAAATATTTCATGAAAGGCATCCTGACAAAAATGTAAGTCACGTGTACATCCGCGAATTAGTTGAAAAGTTTAGAGAAACGGGATAAGTGCAAAATAAAAAAAGAAATGCCCCAAGATTACTGAATGAAGCAACCTAAATTGAGGTCCTTGGAAATTTTGCAATGGAGCCTACTGCATCGACACGTCAAGTATCTGCAGTGACAGGACTTTCACATGAGACGGTTAGAAAGGTGTTAAAATTACATAAGTTTCACCCGTAAAAAACACAAATTCTTCAAGACCTAGGCAATGATGATCCAGATCGATGAATTAACTTTTTTGAACTCATGACTGAAAGAATTCGCGTTGAACCGAGAATGTTAAAAAATATTCGTTTCAGTGATGAATGTACTTTTATGCTGAATGGTAATGTAAATAAACAAAACTGTCGGTACTGGAGTGATGCGAACCCGCATCGATTTGGAGAAAGTCACACTGAACTGAATGTTTAGGCAGGAATATTAGGCGATGCTAAAATTGGTCCCTTCTTCATACTAGGTAATTTAAGTAGCGACATTTATCTCGATATGCTGGAAAACACCATCGAATATTTAATTGTGCATGAATTAGAGAAGCAAAGGGACGACCAAGGCAATGTAGCCGTAGACGAAGATTTGCTGCACTTCCAACAAGATGGAGCACCTCCTCACTATGCACCTCCAGTTAGGCACTGGTTGGATACTAATAATGATAATAATACTACAACTACACAAAAAAATAACAATATTGAGTTCTAACTAAATACATAAAGTTATAGTGAAAGGCGAAGTTCAATTTTCGCAGCTATGCAAATAACTGCTAAATTGTTCTTCCACTTAACCAAACAAATGGATTGGCAGGAGAGGTCCCATTGATTGACCACCAAGGTCACCAGACTTGGCGCCACCTGACTTTTTTCTTTGGGTCACTTCAAGTCAGTTGTTTATAAAAGTCAAACTGCGTCACTTGGGGAATTGCGGAAATTGAAAGAATTACACAAGCATGTCGCGCCATTACTAGAACAACATTTGCCAAAGTTCGTGCAGAATTCAAAAAAAGGCTTTATTCACAAAACAACGGAATCCACTTTGAACATTTACCCAATTGACATTTTTAATAAATTGCAGTTGAACAAAAACCTCATTAAATATTCCATTTAGGCCAAAATTTCACAATTATTGCTTCACCCTGTACAATTATTATTAATATCATAGGATAGCAATGATGTATCACAAGTAGGGGTTTGCAATTTGAGCTTTTTGTGTTTTGGTGGGTGGGGCCTAGGTGGTTGATAGGGGTGAGTTTTCTTCCATATCATTTTAGTTCCCCCTTACTATCCTAGTAACGATTTCAAGCATTTATTGATATCAGCTTTTGTTCGTGAGATATAGCCCATTGTGAGTTTTAAAATTGACACACTGCATGTATTTTCAACAGGAAAGAACTATATGGCTTTGATGCTTTCATCAGATATTTTATGTCCAAGAAAAATCAAATTTACATTTGTTCAAATTGAGTTTTGAATTCTACATCGCATCAATATTTTTATTAGTCTTTCATCGTAATTTCTTTTGTTGTTTTCCAATTTCCACACCAGAAAAACTTCTGAAGCAAGTGCCATTCATACGGAAGTCATTCCGGTTCAATTTTATTCGATAAAAAACATCAGGAGCATCAGGAACTGAAAATGAGTTAGCACTTCTGAATTTTGATTATGATTATGTTATCAATCGATGGTTATGGATAATATTCTCTAATGACCTGTTAAGGTCTATGGAATTCATGCAGTTCCGTATGTTCTCATTTGATACATTTTCTATTACAGTCTTTTCCAAAAAAGCGTTATCAAAAATCAAATTATTTGACAAGATTTCTAATCTTTCTAAAAATTTTGCAGGAATTATATTGACCTGTAATCAAGTTTCAATCTAATTTTTGTAATGAGCTCTGATCCAATTTACCCGAACTGACGTTTCTTAGTTCTTATTGTTACCCTTCAAATATCAGCAGCTGTTGACAGCGAGACATTCTTTGTTCTTTTGATTTATCAACAAATCAACATGCGACTTCAGTCCTTAAATTGATTTACTGGTGATTAAACTGTCGGTGAGGGTTTCAAATTCACATGGTGTACTCAGATCCATTATATAACCATCAGAGCTTTCATTCGACTTTTCATTTCCTGAAAGAACCATGTGCCGTACATAGTAATTTTCTCTGGATTGATGTTCATCTTCTTTTTTTGTCATACATCAACATTAATTTTGTCTCCTCCTGCCTCGTGGCTGAAATTGTTGAATATCATCAGAGCAGAAGTAATGATTGATATATATTTGGAAGGCTCATTTAGAGTTCATGTTGCTTGGAAAAAAGTGCAAATGTTTGTTGAAAAAAATTTACAAGTATCGGATTTAACGTAGTTTACCTTAAGAAATGATTTTGAATACCAAAAAGAAATACCTGAGAAATTGCACTTATCTTAATGTTTTGAATGCCAAATTTTGCCTACGTCTTCCACGATTATTTTTACTCTTCTTCTGGGAAAAAGGGTTTGAGGCTTTCAATTTTCACTGTAAAACAAACAGCGGAAAATTTACAGAGCCGTATCGTAATGAAAAAAATCAGCGCTCCGTCTTGTAAGGTTATTCAAAACGGTGCTGATGGGGTGATAAGACAATAGTTTCATCCCGAAACTTCGAATTCCATATTAATATATCACATATATCATTTTGTAGCGTTCTCACGAATGATATTTGTTAGAATTTCATAACGAATATATTTTTAGTGCAAAATGAATGAAAACATTCGATTTTTGTGTAACTTACTGTCGATATAGAAGTACTTATTCCGAAAGTAGTTTTTATTTTCTTATTATTCAAAGTACATGCGGAAGTAATGTACCTATCATCTACATATTATCAGAGTTTTCATTGTAATTTTTCTCTTCTCTCCTTCATAAATTTCCCACTATTTTTGTTCAATGAAGAAGAAATATAGAGTCAACTTTCCACAAATAACTACTGAAAATATTCGCTTTTTTTCTGTTCTGATTCAGGAATGTAAAGCGACTCCATTCCTGCTAAATATTTGTACAAATGCGGACCAGAAAAATATAGTATGATTTTCTGAACTTTCACAAAATTTTCTGAATATTTCCCAATGAAGAGGAAACATAATTGATAGTCAAATCAGCTTTTCAATACTGATTATATATGGAAAATTGACAGTTGTTGGGAATTCGATCTTTTTCTTTCATTAGGGTCGTTGCCCATTCAACAGTAGGAATATAAAGGTCTCTACAATGTAGAGAAAATCTTTTTCTGCAGGAATTTTCAAAATATATTCCTTATAGCGGGGTCTATTCTAGAATACAGAGAGAATCATAAAGACCCAACAAGAAAGCCTGACGCCAGATTCTTTGGATTGTAAGCTTAGTAATCACGATTTATAAACCACATTTTTCACTATAGGTTATTGGTGAAATACGTATAAATTGACTTTCAGCTTATTGTTCAATAACTAGTTTCAGACCAACACTTTGTTTTACAATTCGCAGGTTTTTGAAGATACCGCAGTCACTAAGATTTTAACAGAACCAACTCCGAACAACGAAAAAAAAGTTATTGGTATCGAAACATTGAAGGGAACCGTCAAAACCAACGTCGTCGTCAATGCTTGTGGAGGTTGGTCTCGTGAACTAACCCAGATGGTTGGGTTAGATATCCCACTAACTCCCATCAAACACGCCTACGTAGTTACGGGAAGTGTACCTGGAGTCAAAGGTATTCCCTGCATAAGAGATCATGATGGAGGGTTGTATTTCAGGCCTCAAGGAGAGGCTGTAGTTTTTGGAGGTTATGAACCCAACCCCCAAATAATGAAAGAGGTAAGTTTCATGATTTCATCTTGATTCTTATTCAATATTCAACTGGATTACTCACCAGAGTTTAAAATATTTCTTCTAGATTCCCAAGGATCTGTCTTTCAGTCTTTTTGAGCTAGATATGACAATATTTGATGTTCATTGGAAACACGCCTGTGAGCTCTGCCCTTCTTTTGAAAAAGCTGGAATCAAATCTGATGTTTACGGCATGGAATCTTTTACTCCAGATCATAAACCGATTATGGGAGAAGATCCTAAGTGTGTTGGTGAGTGGTACTTTTATAATGCAAACAATTTTTCAGTGAGAGTATTGAATATTATCCCAAGAAACTGATAGTGTATTCGACTCGCAACTGAAAGTCACTACTACAAATATAGATAATATTTAATTTTCATTTACATTCATGGGAAAATTCACACTGTGGTCCATTTGAAAAACATTTCTGCTCACTTTCTATTGGTGCCTGAGCTGCCAGGGCTATTCGACAGACAAACATTTTATTAGCATTGGTTGACTGAAAATGCGCATTCATCATCACTGAATGAACTGACGTGGCTGAAGTACGAAAGTAATGCTACGTTCAATAATAACAAACACTTTCGAAATGTGTATAAACTCATTGTAATGTATTCGTTGGGAGATCAATCTTCAAAAATTTGAAAAGCAAAAGGCAAAAGTTTTCATAGGATTGATGTTTCGATTTTTATATTTTGACTCACTTCAGTGCAATAAAAATGGAAAAATAGTCAAAAAATTTTATCATAATTTCCTTACAAAAACTGCTTTTGTGATTCCCAAGCAACAGATTTTTCCAATTCGTATATTCATAATTTCAAACGCCATGAGGTGTTTCCGCCGTGAAATTCCATGATGAGAAAGTAGGTAAATCAGTAAGGGAGCATAGAAGAACTGAGATAGAGTGTCAAATCTCTTTGAAGAGTGAAGAAATGTATGTATACAGAGTGAGTCACGAGTAACCTGGCAATCGCTGGAAACTGAACGAAACCTATTTTCGATGGTTTCTCATAACACGGTGGAATTAGATTTCATAACCGAGAAATCCTCGTGAAATCCCACTCAGCTGTCACCAGTGTGATGAAGGCTCCTTTCTGGTTCATTTATACTTTTTAAATTGATTTTGGCAGCTGCTGTCACCAGATGCGGATTTCTCCACATCAAATTTTGGATGTCAGGCAAATCCGAAGGAGGCTTGAATTGGGCCTCCTGCACGAAGAGGAGGCCCAATGACCTTGTAGGTCTTACCGTTTCCGAGATAACAACAGTGGGATTAGCTGAATAAAACGGCTTGTGTGAAATAAAACGAATTTGATTTATTTAATATTACCTTTGTTTCAAATGAAATTACAAGTGTTTCAGTGAGTACTTAGACATGGTATGAGAAATGCAACATTTATTCACTTATTTGTTTGAGAACTCATGGTATACTCCGTTGAAATAACGGTACTCTGTTATTTCAATCATACTTGTTTTTAGGCTTGTTCCATGGGAGTGGATTCAACTCCCTTGGGATTCAACTCAGTGGTGGTGCTGGAGAACAATTAGCCGCTTGGATTGCCCTTGGCCGACCAGAAATGCCTCTATTCGCCTATGATATTCGAAGATTCACTCCCGTTCAGAGACAGGATAGGGCATGGGTAACGGAAACGAGCCACGAAAACTATGCAAAAACATACAGTATTGGGTATACCCATGATCAACCACTAGCTGGAAGAAATCACAGAATTGATGCTTTCCATGAGGTAGGCAGGTGAACTACAAAATTCAGTAATCACGGCATCAACTGCTCATATTTCGATGAAATTTGTAAATATCAAACTGATGTGTGTGTGTACTCAATAGGCTATGGTGGCGAGTGGAGCAGTCATGGAAGAGGCGTTGGGTTGGGAGCGACCAGCATATTTCATAAAAGACAGAACTGCCCCAGTCAGATCTTACGATTGGTATGGACACTATGATCATGTTCCGAATGAAGACACACGTTACGTAGATGAATTAAGAGGGGACCTTACTTTCGATTTTTCTAAACATTTTGATCTGGTAAGTTCTGATCTGGTAAGATCTGTTAGGAATCGTGCGTTGAAAGGAAGGACCTCTTTAGTCCTTAGCTCGCACTCGTTTTGACTTTTGAGAGTTGTTGTTTGTGAAGGGACGGGCGACAGTTAGTTGACAGAAAAACATACACATATAATACTAACAAATACTATTGATGAAATAATCATTTCTTGAAAAATAAACAAAATGTTCTCAATCAGAACAATTTTTCGAATCTATTGAGCCGGTTTTATGTGCTCATGAATGTGTTCATATGTTGAATGAATAAAATGAATGATTCATCGGGCACTCCATTCTACGACGTATAAATCTTTGTTGACATGAAATTGTAAGCACTTGTCGTTGAAAGTTTCATTCAACACTGATTGCTAAAGCTTGATTCAATAACTCGTTCGAATGCTATTAGGGAATTCAGAAGGTAAAAACTTCAATTCGTTGAACAACTTTCTGAATTTGAATTGAAGGGGTTATTTTTTTAGGAGTAAATAATTTTTGGGAAAGATGAGGGAATAGGGTGGATGTCACACAAAGTTCAGGTTTCTCGTTAAAAAATGGAAAAATTATGAGAGGTTGTTCCCTATTTGGTGCACTAGTTTTCGAAACACTGGATACCAGAATTTCAATTTTTTCATTTTCATAAAGAGTCTGAACTCTTGCAGCTAAAGTTAATGCCATAAGCATGCTGAGCTTCAGAGTATAACAAAAGTCGACTGGGATCCCAAGTATAAGAGTATTTAGAAAAAACTGGCTTGATTTTGAATACCCCTTTCAAAAATCTGCCGAAAGAAAGAAAAGTAGAGATAGGGCTGTGCGATGAGTATTCAACGTTGGGTAGGATGCTCCTTTATTGAGTTCATTCTGTAAAAATTTCAAAACGTGCCCAACAGATGGTTTGAATTCATCAATCTCTGAAGAATTTGTAAATTGCCACCATTTTGAAAATGATGTATTGTTTTTGAGTGTTTTTACTAAGTGTGGATATCATTGTGGAGATGCTCGGTTCAGGAACATTTTTCAATGCGAACGACCTCCTTATAATTTCCCTGCAGCCAGGGTGTGCATAGGATGTGGTTTCCTGAAAGGAGACACAAGAAATGACTTTTCAGGTCCAAAATATAAAATATCTGAAACAAGCAAGTTTCGGAGAAGCGGGTACCATGGTTGTGAAAGCCAGAATGGGACCACTATGATTACTTCAGCTTTTTCCGAAACTACTTTGCTCAAAACACACGTTATCAGAGGAAATGGGGGAAATGCATAGCCGCAGGTGTTCGACCATGAGATTGTAAAAGTATCTACCGCTATCGATTCAGGGTCTTTGTGCCATGATATGAAGGTTTTACATTTTTTATCAATATATGATGCAAATAAGTCAATTTTGGGTTCACCAAAACTTTTTCTGATTATTTCATAAATCCGACTATTCAAGGAATACTCAGTATCTGTTACTAAAAGTCTTGAAGCTTTGTCTGCTAGGAAATTTTCTCTTGTATTAATATATGAAGCAAAAACCACAATTTTGTGTTTTTCGCACCATTCCCAAATTTCAAAAGTTATGGAATTCAAATATTCGTATTTAACTCCCCCCATTCTGTTAATCAGTGAAATTGTCGATACGAAGTAAAATACGACAATGTATTTTATCTTTGGCAAAACATTTTAGTCCATAATAAGCGGCAAGCAATTCGAAGTAGTTAATATGCATTTCTTTTTCTTTCATGTTCCAGAAACCATTTGCGGTTTCCGCCCCACCCCGTTAGCGATGCATCTGAGTAAATTTCTAGTGCATAACCATCCACCATTCAATTTCTGGTTGTAAAGAAGGATGTAACCACATTTGAGAAGAATAATCGCCTCCCTTGTTCTTCAGAGCCAGATATTTTTGCTTTTCTAAATTTCTTGTGTGCATTAACCCATATGTGACATCTGAACAGACCGATATGAGTTTGACTATCAAGTGCAACTCACGAATCTGACACATTGTCCTATTTCTATAATGACAGAGTGTTTTTATTTATTTAAGTTTTTTGTCCATCGGTAAAGATATGGACATATCAAATGAGTTGAAAATAAAACCGAAAAACTGGCACTCCCTGGATGGCGTCAAACAACTTTTCTTAAAATTTTTTACAAATCCCAATTTTTCTAAAAGATTTTTTGTAAATTTTGTATTAGTTAGGCATTCTTCATATGATTTCCCCAAAATAAGTAAATCGTCAAAATGAATGATTGATATTATTTTGTTCAACCTCAATGTCTGAATCATAGGTCTCAAAATTTTTGTAAATGAATAAGGTGCTATATTTAAGCCAAAACATAAACAGGAAAATTCGTACATCTCTTTGTTGAATATGAGTCGTAGATATTTTCGATGTGTTTCTGATATCGGGATTGAAAAATAAACATCTTGTAAATCTATAGTTGTCATAAAGTAATTTGTTTGAAGCAAATTTTGAACTACTCTGTGATCTTCTAATTTGAAGTGCGGTGGTGGAATGAATTTATTCAGATTTTTGAGGTTTAAAATAAATCAAAATGAGCCATTAGGTTTTTTCCTCAAAAAAAAAAGTTGAAATAAATTGACATTTTTTCAATTTACATTTTCTGATAGCGCTTTTTTGTAAAAGATCCTTTATTTCGCTAAATATCAGTTTTTGTTCATCTTTTGGTAAAATACGTTTATATGGGACACATACTTGTGTGTAGGGATGTTCAAGAATAGGATTTTATAACCTTGAATACAGTTCAAAATGAAATTGCTATTCGTTATTGTTCTCCATTGTTCATAAAAGAATTTCAGGCGCCCCGCAATTTGTCCTACCTGGAGGTTTATTCCTTTCGATGTCGATGGGCTTTCTCCTTCCTTATTCCAGGTTTGTGGTGTGCACTATGGTTGTACTCTCTCATACTCAGTCTTTTTCTTTGTTTGAAGTTCTGGCGCCTGGAGTTTAAAGTATTTTAGGAAAATACCTTTGGCTTGAAAATTTTTATTTCTCTGCTCGTTTTTTCGATTTCCTTTGCCGATTTGCAATTTTCGTGGAATGCCTTTCCAAATAATGACTTATCAGTTGGTGCATTTTCGATTACTTTTTTGGCCATTTGTGATAATACCGGAGATATGGCGAACCGCCTGTGCATGCTTATGGAGTGTATAGCGTCTGCTACTAGCTTGGAAGCGTCTGCGAGTTTTTTTGTATCTTCGCTGGATTCATTTTCTTTCAGTTGGTTGGTGAGTATTTCTCCCATGGCGCAAAGGCCTCTATCCAAGGTATTTTGAATTTTACATAGGTAAGAATCCGTCTTTTTCTGACTTTCTGAGAGTAGCGCGCCTACTTCGGCGTTAGTCTCCGGAGCTTGAAGAAGATCAAAATTAGAAGGGATTTTATATGTTTCAAATAATGCCTTTAAATGTTCTTTGTCCACCCCTTTTGTCAAATAGTGGGTCCATCTACAAATAATTTCTTCGTGCAAAGGTGGCCCATGTGGTTCATTCAGGAAAGATTCAACTCCCAACACGTTGGTTGCAGCTGTTTGACCAATTTGTGGACAAGGAACAGAGCTAGGGTGCTCTTGCTGATGTACATCGGTTCCTACCTGTATTATTGGGGAACCCTCGCCCTGTCTCTCTTCGTCACAGATGGATTCAATAGAGCTCTTAGATTCTCCTGAAAACCAATATTTATGTATAAGCATCCTGTTTAACTTTTTCAAGTAATGAACATTCAGTTCCATTACTTTTTCGTCGAGAAAGCCAACATAAAGTATGACCTCTCGAGGTTACGGTTTTTATCGAGCAAATAACTGTTCAGTTGAAAAGAAGAGTCTTACGGCTGGCTTATCACTATGCTGCTGGAAATGAACTCAAATTGTTCATTAACCGTGTACTATTTTGAAAATATTTTCTTTCCTTTGCCTCAGGAGATACGTAACATTCTATGTCACATAAAGTGGCAGTACGAACATTTCCTTACATGATTCACATAAAGTAGAATCAACGCGTAATTCCTGTTATGATAGCCTAGAATCCTAGAATTGTTAAAGAACTTACTTTCTGAACTTGAATTATCACTGTCCATAAGTTTCATTAGTTTTCTTAGAATTTGTTTTCGTTTGGCTCTCTTCATTGATTTCGGCATTTTCCGTTAATAGATGTGAACACTTTCGCATGTGAGACAGTACATGTGAGACATGTACTGGAGGAAAAAACTTATCTTTAAAATGTTGTGACACGATCGTGGGACGAGAATATACTACAGTGTGTTATATATTGGAGAACAAATATGTGAAACATAATGATCCTAGATGCATGATATCTGCGATTACAACAAGCAATACAAAAACACTCCAAATCAAAGCAAACTAGCGGTGATTTTTGTGTGTATTCTGGAAGGGGTGCAGAAAAAATACTGTACTCTCTGTAGAGTGTGTAATTTTGATTATTCGATTATAAATGGCTTCTAGGACAGTTTGTCTGCAACTGATTTCCTGAAAGTATATGAATTTGTGAAGATTGTGATGTTGATTAATGATAGTTTTTAGAGCAGTTTCATATTTACTAGAGAACTCATCGAATGCATTGAAGTGCCACAGTAAAACATAAACAAATGTGTTTGTATTTCATTCTATAAATACAATTTTGTATTTATAGAATGTAATTTTTCAGCAGTCTCTTGATTGAAGAACAATTATCAGAATGTATCGAATGATACATCAGCAGTCTCTTGATTGAAAAACAATTATCAGAATGTATCGAATGATTGTAAAATGAGACTCAAATACCACATTGATCACGTCAAAATGTTTGTTTTGAAGATCTAGATTTCTTCTGTCAATCACGTACAGAATTCACAAATGAACAAAAAATCCGTTTTGAATATGTTTCCGTTCACACCTAGTTTAATTTTGGAACTATTATATTCAATCCACATCATGCTTTGAATACGTTGAGTTTGGAAAGTCATCGAAACAGAATTGTTAGATTTATTCGGTAGCCAAGCGGTTCGGCATGGGTGATTTGTTCACTCACTCGAATTGACTGCCGTGTTGGTCGGTGGTTCAAGTCCTAGTCTGAACGATCGATCTTCACTTGCTATCGTCCAACCCGTGTTAGGAATCACACGTTAAAAGGTAAGACCTCGTTAATCCTTGGCTCGCACAAGTTTCGACTTCTGAGGGTTGTCGTTCGTAGGGGTGCGACAGCTGATTAACGCAAAAACAGATTTTAAACAGATTTTAAATTGGAATGGTAGCGTTGGCAATACTGCCTTAGTACGGTTTATATGACAAACGATGTGTCAACTGTAAAAAATTGTTTCAAATTAACTTCTTCCTCTTCTCCACCCCAACCTTCTACATTCCACTCCACTACTTGGATTTCCTACCACGCCAGCAATATCTATGAATGAACCCCATCGCCATCCAAGCATTAGGTCATGAGGTTGACAGACTACTGATATTCAGAAAATGATGGAACTGGTAGAAATTTTATAAAAATCCATATTAAAATTTATCAATATATCAATGGAAAATGAACAATATATCAATGAACAATTTAAAAATCCGGTTTTGTAACATAACAAAAACCTGTTAGTGACATCGCTTTGGATTTTGCTGAAGAAATGATTTCAAAAGAACTAGGCGATACTTGATAAGAATCTATATTGGAATCTATTGTGAAAGGTTTAACAAATACACGTTTTTCAACATACAATAGCTTCCTCAAGCATTTACTTTGTTAGTAAAATTCAAACACAGAATACCTGGACCCTAAAAAAAATTTCAGACTATGTGAAAAATTCAACAGTGTTATCTCATTCCAATGCATTCATACATAATTATGAAAAAATAACCAAATAATTGTTATACTACGACAGGGATGGCCGAAGTTGACTAAAAAGTCGATTTACAGGTCAATATCGTCTGAAACATCATATGAAGATTCTACGACTATCTAGCATGTCGCATATGTTCAGAAGTTATTCAAACAGCAGAACACACACTTTGTGTGCCTGCCCAAACGCACGTCGAATCAGTGGTGGACATATTTGGAAAAGTTTGTGTTGGGTGAGCCATAATAAAGCTTCGAAGGTTGCAGTGGAGGCTTGAATAGCTCCACTCACTTTGTACCTTACTTAACACGAGCACTTCCAACTCAAATCGATCTTTCTTTCTCTTCCGTTAGCGAATACTTGGTAAGACTAATCTTGTAGAATGTAGTAGAATACTGCAGGATACTGACCACTCTAGTAGCCTGTGACCTTCAAGCAAGGTGGGCTCAGCTGAGTGGGCTTTCCTGACTCCACTTCCTTCACAGACTCTACCTTAGCAGCCTGTTTTCAATCATGGATGTTGAATTATGGTGTTTTGTCAAATCCACGTTTCATTTCGAAACACATTTTCATTTCGACTGAAGTGCATGTATCGATTATTGTTCATGTTGGTAGTAATACCAGTTTGTCATTTTCCCTTTTTCCATAACCTTTTTACTCTGTTCTATGTCTCCAACCGTCTCCGACAAAATAGTTCACCGTATCATTGTGATAGTAGACGTCGACTCTGAGGACTCCACTTTAAAACTGTTTAATATCCGTAGATATTTTTTTATAAAAAATAAATTGTGTCTCAAATCATTTTTTGATGAGTTATCAGATGTTCAAACTTCTTCAGTAATCATTTCCCCGTTTTGTTTTCAGATAAAAGAAGAAGCATTAGCAGCTAGAAACAATGTAGCACTATTCAATCTCACATGTTATACAAAAATGTACTTGGCTGGTCCCGATGCTGAAGAAGCTGCCGATTGGTTATTTACTGCTAACGTTGATCGTGAACCAGGCAGTATTATATACACTTGTTCCTTGAACTCCAGAGGTGGTGTAGAAGCAGACGTTACTGTGATACCCTTGGAAGAAGGAGCTGGTACTTTAGTAGGACCCATTTTGAAGGTAACAATAATGATGACTGTTTTTTTTAGAATAAATAAAACACCCATTTCTACAGTAATAATAATATGCATTTTGAACTTGTTGTGAATATAAGTGGTTCAATGAAATACGTTATTTTATTCTCAATGACTCCAACATATGAATTGTTTTTTTGTAATGGATCATCGATTAATCAAATTGATGTTTTGTTCTGTTGAAATGATATGAACGAAAAAAATCAGGTAATCAAAGATCATATCCCAAGGATATGTTTTCATTTCATCACATCTTCCTTTTCAACTTGATCTGTTTGTATGTTAGGGTAAAAAAAAATCTTGGAACTGAATTTTGAACCAGCTACTGAATGAGCTGAAATTACATACCCACATATATGTACACATATTTGATTCTTGGGATAATGCACGGCTATTTCATATTCCAGTTTTTGAGAAAAAAATTCAACTTTTCTCTTCTCAATTACAAGAAATGTTCCTTCAGAAATATCCCACGTTTTACTATTTGTAGTTGTATTTGAATTGTAGTGTTGCCAAAAGCTTGTGGTAACATTGTCATATTTTAAACCAAATTAGATATGAAGACAATTAATTGGGTCGGAAAAAATTCGCACAGACTTCGGCCCTTTCTCAGTCGTGCCGGGAAAAATGGAAATAATATTTTTAGTTTTTGAGTTGTAATTTGCAAAAATATAAAAAATGGAAAAACAAAGTTCCAGTATATTGAAATGTATACCTACTACAACAAGATAAAAATAAATGCCGGGTCAGCTAGTATGTTCGTATAAGTATGTATTGGTTAATTTCACTGAACTCCCAAAATTGTGTGAGTTCAATCGGTTAGGAATTCGCCCAGTAGTAATTCAGCAAGACAATAGTCAGCCCGGATTTCGTTTATTGTAATCGTGACTCCGGCAGTGAATCTTTTTAAGAAGCCTATGTTTCAATATAGATTCAATATGTTTTCCTATTCTGAGCCAAATGAAAAATGTACTATACTGAATTTGGTAAAATTCTACTTTTTCATCAGAATTTTTGTTGAATTCCGACGATCTACTCCAAATTCCATCAAATTCCAACTTCAAACTCAGAATTTCAATTAATTTCAACTTTAATCTCAGAATTCAGTGATATTCTTCACAAAATCATGGTGGCTCTTCTACACCTTCCTAATTACCTTTTGAAGTTTTTTTACTGAAATAGAGGAAAAGAGGTGGATTTATTCATTCATTCAGAAGATAGTTCATTCAATAAAATGAAATGCACAACATTAAGTCGTTTTTTAATAATAAGGGTTACTACATAATGGCTAGTTCAAAAACAGGTTACCAGACGTTTAGAAGCTAGTCTATTCGATAAAATGAACTGCACAACAATAATAATAATTGAATTTTGTTTGATAGGGAAAGGGTTACTACATAGTGGCTGGTGCAAAGGCGGGTTACCAGACGAAATCGCATTTTAGGAAGCAGCTGTATAGAAAAAATTTCAAGTCACTAGTTACGGAAATGACCAACAGAATAGGAATATTGGCTATCCAAGGACCTAAGAGGTAGTTTTTTTTATAGTTCCAAATAAGGGTTTCGAACCTATATAACTAATGAATAATGTTATGGAAAATAATCGAACTCCTAAAACATATTTAACGATTTCAGTACCGAATTGCTTCAGTCTATAACAGAATTTCCAATTACTGATGAAAGGTTGCCGTTTGGCAAGTCAAAACTCATAAAGATCAATGGTCACACCTGCCGAGTATTGAGAATAAGCTACATAGGAGAACTGGGATATGAAATTCACATACCACTAGCTTCATGTGTTCCGATTTACAATAGGATAATGGAAGCAGGAAGAGGATTCGATCTGAAACACGCAGGGTTCAGGGCTCTGGATTCTTTGAGTTGTGAAAAAGGTAAGCATTTCTGTTTTGAAAACATACTCAACAGAACTCATCAAGGTAAATGAACAAAAGTGAAATATAGATGATTATAGAAAGTAAAACATTTTCGTATCTTACGTACATTTTTCCGTGAAGACGATGAGATGACATTACCCCAGTGATAATCTTGCTAGAAGATGGACATTGCTGCTACAAATAAGCATTTCGTTAGACTTGGGATATCATGAAGATTTCATTCATCTGTCCTTATTGAAGGATACACTTCCCTCTTGCCTCAAATGAGCCTCTATACATTTCATTTGGAAACAAAGTTTATCCAAGTTATATTATGGAATTGGCCAATTATATAGAAGTAATATAAAAAACTATATTCCCGTCGCTCCATTGAGCATTGTTTCTGAAGTTATAGAGAGAAAATTGACCAATAGAAACACACATTTTTTCAACTCATTCAGATTTTATGTGACAGACAAGCACAATACAATTTGTACGATATGTCAACAATAAAATGGATTCTAGAGAGTTTGTAATCCCGATTATTGTTGAACCCACAGGAAAAACGTAACATTATAATCAATAATAATGACAGGGAGTATATTGAGTTTTATAGTGATGCAGTGATATTGATTATATACCCCATATATAATATTACGAATTTTTAAATATCCCAGGAAATGATTGTTGATAAAATAGAATAAAGTAGAATACCTGTATACAAAAAGTAGGAAATATACTTACTGAAGGATTATATTTCTTTACAAATGGCGCAGTCGACCAGAAATGAGACTCCAGAAATCGCTCAGGTTAATAATGAAAAGGAAACTCCAAATGGAGGTGATCAAAATTCAATTTGCAGTGGAAAAAATGAACTTGACAATATTATGTTGAAATGAATGACATTTGCTACTAGCCCCTAGGATCCCAATGCTAGAGTGAAATCTTAGGAATAGTTGTGCTATTTGAACAAGTGGAGATCTGACTGATAAAATAAATAATTTACGCTTCAATCTTCAAGGTAATGCACTAACATGGTATATGAAGACAGATGCATTTGCAAGTCAGAATATTTGTATAGAAGTGTTTTACAAAGTTTTCATGAGAATATAACGACGGAATGGAAAAAACCTTGTTCTACATATACACTTATGATGTAATATTTGAGTATTATAATGAAAAAATAAGATTACTATATTGGGCGGATGAAAGTTTATGTGAGAAGTCGAATGTTGTTCCAATTACTTGGGTTTACTGTATCATATTCAAAATCAATTGAGAAGTAAAATCATAAATTATTTGATTTGGTTCATGTGTTGAAAAATTTGAATTTTGATACAATGAACTACGAAAATGAATCTGAAGTAAGAAAATGTTGAACTAAATGAATGAGAAACAACACCTAAAACAACAGAGAATGAAATTTCGAAGAATTAAAAAAATGAATATGACAGAATTTCTAATCATAATAATATCATTGTGATTCAGATGAGCAAATGAATGAAGTTAAAACGAATATACCAATTATTTTACTTTCCGAGAGAGTTTGGAAGAAAGTTTGAAGTAAAAGCTTTATTTGATACATGATCGATTATAAAATTTATAGATGCAAATGAATTGCAAATTTTGATGAGAAATTCACTGAATGGAAGTGGAAGAGTTGATGACGACTATATTTTGAAACAGTTCCCTTGTGAAGTTGATCATTCATGCAGATGGAAAATTATTACCATTTGAGGTTGATTTTGAATTGAATCCAAATATTCAAATCATGAGATTGAAATCTTATAGAAATTATTTCACTAAGCGAATATGTAATGAAAACAGAAGAAAAGATACTTTAGAAAAGAACATAATAACTGAATCTAATTATATGCTTCACCTTGTGTATTTACCGAAAAATCAACGATGAATCAGTATTAGACCTGGTTTCATTTCCAAAAACTGACAAAATTATTGAAAAATTTGGCAATTGTACTTTATTACAAAATTTAATTTGAAAGATGGATTCTGAAATATAAAATTTTCTGAAGACACCAGGAAGTTTACAGCTTCCGTTTCTGAAGAGAGATGTTATGAATCCACGAGATTACCTTTCGGATGAAAGAATTCAGGCGCTACGTTTCAGTTTATTATGCAAGAAATACTTGATGACTTATTATCAACTGGAAACATTGTGGTCTTCATTGATGGCATTATGGGATACTGCAACTCACTTTGGTAACTAAATCAACGTGATCTTATAGAACCCAAAACAGTCAAATACCGATCATCTGTTATTTTTCCTATACGTTTTCCAAAATTGAGGTGAACTACTCAGTTACTGAGAAAGATTGTCTGGCAGTGGTAAAGGCAGTTGAATTTTTCAATACATATCTGGAGGGAAACAAATTTGAAATTCATACTGATCATAGAGCTCCAACGCAACTTTTGAAATTAGGTCATTTGAGAGATCGTTTGGCAGATGGTAGACTTTAGAAATAGTAATAGAAGATGAAAATGCTATTTTAAGATTATATATAGATATTCCAGATCAAGTTCTAGAAGTATTCTGATATAATCTCTCTATTCACGATTTGGAGAAAATGGAAAATGAGAAATATGAAAAAAGGAATCTCAACACTTTATCATGATGATCCTGAATTAGGAGGACACGATGGTTACCACAAAACGTACTATAAAATCAGCAAAAGATTTTTTTAGAAAGGTATCAATAGAGATATGAAGTATTACATTGAAACTTATGAAACCTGTCAACACAATAAATTTAAATATCTGCCAAAACAAAATTATGTTCACTTATCAAAAAGTTCTAACAAATACTTTGAAACCATACACATTGATTTTGCAGAGTTGAGTAAAAAGTCCGATATCAACAAAATAATTCGTCAGTTTGATCGATTAAGTAACAAGATTTGTTAATGTTGAGGCTCTGAAGCAAAGTGGTCAATCTTTCGAGAATTATTTCATGAGTCTTCCATTCAAAGATTAGGTGAAAAATATTGTGACGAATTGGGGCTCATCCTTCATCTCTGAAATATTCCATGAACGGGCTGAGGCTGAAGGAATCCATTTATTTCATACAACTTCTTATCATCCTGGAGTAAATGATTTAACAGAAAAAAAATCGAAATATCAAAATTTGTATTCAATGTTATCGGGATTACAGAGAAAGTTAGAAAAATAATTCGAAGATGCAATTCGTCATCATGATTATTCGCATAATGAATATCTAGGATGCTCACCAAATTTTAAACTATATGGCGAAAGAACGAAATTGCAAGCTGACAAGAAATTAGGTTCAGAAATAGAAACAACAAAATCGTCCGAAAAACAGCTGAAATACAAAATAAGAGTTCAAGAACAAGAAAGAAAATTGAGGTCACCAGCATTGAGGGTAGGGGATTGGATTCTAACAAAAATCAACGTATTGAAAAATAATGTGTGACAAAAGGGCCTTTTGAAGTTACAGGCGTCAGACTGACTGAAACTGAAACAGGCCATATATCAAACATTCGACAATTTCTTTCAAGTTTTTTTGAGATGGGGATCTCTAGTGAAATGACCGTTTGGTGATATGTATTATATCTCCTATAAGTGATATTAGGTATTTTGTGATGGTTATTGATGAAGTAGAATTTGCATGATTATATAGTTTGTGACAAGTTCAAAGAGTATTCGTGTTGCAAAAACGCATCATCAGACGTATTTTCAGTTCGTCTCATAGAAAATCACGCAGAGATACGTCCAATAGTAAAAAAAAATCACGGTGACCTCTATTTATATATTGAAACACATGTATGTTTCCAGTAACGAGAGAAATATTCAACATACTGAAGTTTGTCACTTCATGCTGAAAATAGTTCCAATGGATACGGGTATGCATCTATTTTTGCCAGTCGAATCGAGAGAATACAGATATTTAGAGATCGAATAAAGTAATGGCAAAGAGATGCTTCTACACCCTTCGTGATTGCGAACTGTTTCGTGGTTGACGATTTTAAATGCTGACCTCATACTCCATGTAGTGTTCTTCTATAATGATCTTATTGGTGCCTCACATAGGCTAACTCACAAGCATAATGAAGTTTGTATGCAGCACTGAAGTACCTGCTTCACATTTAGTTTTCATTTGTGTTTCGTAATATCCAAATATGTAATCTGTTGATGTTCGTCTAATATGTCACAATGTTAATTCATGATTTTCCAAGCATACACTTATCTGATCTATGTATCGTATTCAGGATAGGAATGCAATGAATTCGGATCAGAATTGAAAGTGTCTACTTCATATAATGATCCTTGTGTTGTCCATAGTTTGAATTCGTTTTTGTCATGAAGTGCGATCATGAGAATCAGAGCCCAAACATAGAGCAATTATGACCACCCAACACCAGACAGCGCTGTTTTGACCCACCGCCATAAGTCTCATCAGTGTATACTGGGTCCAACCAAAAGGACTCAACTGCCCTTCAAAGTCAGGTCTGAGTAAGTAAGGGCGATGTCATCTCCCCTTGCAGAGACGACATCTATGGGATCGACAGAAAACTCAATCCTCGAATCTAAAAGATGAACGAGGCTTCCAAACGCGATCAGTTGCAAAGACAAGCTTCGACATGGACNATTTGACGCAGTTTTCCGGGAGTCTCTCCAACAACCTGTTGGTTATTGAGTCGGCCCCCGGAGCTTTCTTGGCTTTTGCAGCCTTGATATGACCCTTCAGCTCCTCCATAGAAGCCGGACGGATGTCGTCGTCGTCATCTTCCCTGAGGAGTCGGTGAACCCGGTCTTCCAGCAGCATATCGCGATCAATGTCGTCATCGTCGTCAACGTTGAGTTGAAACTGACGTTCCATCGTGTTTGCAAAGGCTAACGCCTTGTCGGCGGGGGAGTAGCACACTCCGCGCTCTCCGACTGGGTCCCACCAAAAGGACTTAACTGTCTTTGAAAGTCAGGTCTGAGTAAGTAAGGGCGATGTCATCTCCCCTTGCAGAGACGACATCTATGGGATCGACAGAAAACTCAATCCCCGAATCTAAAAGATGAACGAGGCTTTCAATGGCGATCAGTTGCAAAGACAAGCTTCGACATGTACCGCAGACAAGATTCGTGTTTCAGTTCTAATTTTCAACTAGTTGCCTTATAGTGAAAGCTTCAGTGGAAAACGGAGGAGGAATCTTATCGGTGGACGATGCTTGGCTTGGCTTGGCTTGAGGAGCCTCATTCATTTGATATTCGAGGACTGACTTCACTGTCGATCGCTCTGATGACGTTTTCGTGGAGGGGAAATGCCATCGCTCATACTAATACAGGCTTGTCCTTCAAGGACAGTTGAGTTCAGCAATGCATTTGTGGTAAAACCTATCACTACTAATAAGACCTATGGTGAGTTGAAACAGGGCTGTCTGTTGTTGATTTATGAATGCATTATCTTTGGACTCTCTCAACTAGTTGCTTTGCAGTGAAAGCTGTGGTGAAAAACAGAAGACGAATCTCGTTGACGCCTTCACAACTGACCGCGTTGAGGAGCTTCGTTTATCTTTTATATTTGAGCTCTCTGTCAATCACATATAAGGCGCAGTCATGAAAGAGACGTCATCTCTCTTTCTTGACCACAAGAGTTCGAAAATAAATTTTTTATTTCGAATCGTGTATTTGAATGATGAACCAAATTTTGGCAAAACCAATAATAGCATACTGTGTAAGGCCTATGTGAGCATCTTTGATGAAACAACAAAACTTCAACTCTTCTAATGAAACCAATATTTTTTTCGATATTATAGGCTTTCATCTCCTAAATCATGACTTGCGAATCGATGATAACCCTGTAGAAGCAGGACTTGTGAAATTATGCAGGAAAGAAGGACAGTACTTAGGCAAGCAATCCGTTGAACGTGTCAAACAAGATGGCATCAAGAAACGGAGAGTTTTCTTTACCCTTCCAGACAATGTCGCATTATATGGATTTGAAACAATTTGGAGAGATGATGCTATCGTAGGATTCCTCAGAAGAGGGGAATACGGATTCAGCCTGGAATCTAGCATAGGCATTGGGTATGTGGATGAGTTTTGTTTGTCGGAAACGAGATGAAGAATTCGGCGTTTCTCTGCGAAGTTTGTTGTTTGATTGAAAGATATTTCCACTTCATCTATATCTGCGATAAATTGATCGTTGATAGTTTTCATCGTTGATATCATAATAATAAGCTCGCAAGACAACCCAATTCAATTTAGAAATTTTTTTTCTGAAAATTGTTCGAATTGAATCTGTTAACCATTGATTTTGCTAAAACTGAATATAATGAATCCAAATCTAATAACTTTTCAGCTTCAAATTCAGGACCTGTTCGGATAATTGGTGACATTGAAATTGGGGTAANTATATATAGAAAGTACTCAATATAATGAAAATTCAACTATGTGTGCCAAATGCGAATAACTCCACCATTCATATCATCTTGTATATAAAAATCTCTCCTAAAAATATAGTCTCTCAATAAAAAAGTGTATGAAAATATTCACTGATATGTGTATATTTTTGTTCAGATATGTAAATCTCATCATTATACAGGCGTAGTCAAATTTAATATCATGCCTGGTGTGATTTTGGTACGAAAGAGGATGTCGAAAATAATGATCTCTTGCTCATTTGCTTTCTAAAATATATAAGAACTGAAAAATTACAAATTTTTTGGGGTACTTCCAATTACCTATCAGAATATGTTCATCGAATTTTAATACACGATAATCTCAACATCAAAATTTCAAGTACAATTTTATATTTTGATTTTGTGATCCTCTATAAGGATACATAATTTATATAATCTCTATCATGGTCTCATTTGGTATGTGATTGTTTGAAATTTTCTGATATACTTGCATCATATTACGAATACAATGTTCATCAGGTTATAAGAAGTTCTTGAGTTGCTCGAGAAATTCAACAAAATAAATTATCTTCTGGAATTTTTTTTCTTGAGTATATGATGTGTGTTATGTGTATTATATCTGAAGGAGACTAATTTGTGGGAGAAAAAAAAATTGATGAATAAATCAATATTTTTTGAACAGACACCATATTTTAATGATTTAGGAAAATGTTATAATAATATCATCTGAGTGATTGAGATCAATATACTTAATAATATTTTTTGAAGTAATTTCATCAATAGAAAGATCTGGAACACGATGTGAGCAAAACAGTGGCAGACTATTTTGTTTTGGGTGAATAGTAGTGAATAGATTCTATTGGTTTTCATAAAGACATTCAATGATTCAACTGCCTTTCTATTTTTTACTTTCTACAAGATACACAAACATCTACAGTATCGAAACATTAAAAAAAAGTTCTTCAGTGGATTCCTCACAGCTCAAATGAAGCTTGAATTTCAACATTCTCGTTAGGATTGTTATGAATAGTATTATAGAATTCGTAGCCACCTCTGAATTGGAGTATGAAATGAATAAACATTTTTTACTACATATCATAAAAGTACAACAAAAAGAAAAGGGTTTCATTAAAAAATATATAGTCTATTCGATGTTCCAAATTTAAAAAAAAAACAATAGATGGACAAATGAAACAACAGAAGTGGATCACCATCAGTTGTCAACACATTTGAAACAAGTATTCAACCAGTAATTTGTATAAACCATCTGGGAAAGAAATGAAATGGTAATCAAATCAGTTAACGGGTTTCATCCAGAATCACTTCGAAATTTCTGAGGTTCTCAAAAAGGTGCAGACCTTCATGAGAGAATGTAATTGCCATTCTTCTGAAATGAAAATTCCAAGTTACTTCAACTGGACAGTTATGAAAAGAAAAAATCGATAGAAAATTTTTTTTTTTCGATAATGTTTTTATTTATTTAATGTTTTCTTTTTCAGGTATGTTGAGCACCCGGAAGGTAAAGTTGTAGACACCGAATTTCTAAAAAGTGGAACCTACCATATAGAAGTTCGTAACAAAAAATATCCGGCAACTCTGTACCTCAATAGTCCATTCGATCCTAAGAACCAGCGGATAAGAGGTCATTATGAAAACGAATTCGAAGAACAATCGCATTTTGAAGACTGATTTTCCTAGTACAATTTTAATTTTTACTTATATTTTTGAATTTTGATACTAATTAGGTAATAAATATTTNCACAACTAGTTGCTTTGCAGTGAAAGCTGTGGTGAAAAACAGAAGACGAATCTCGTTGACGCCTTCACAACTGACCGCGTTGAGGAGCTTCGTTTATCTTTTATATTTGAGCTCTCTGTCAATCACATATAAGGCGCCTTCATGAAAGAGACGTCATCTCTCTTTCTTGACCACAAGAGTTCGAAAATAAATTTTTTATTTCGAATCGTGTATTTGAATGATGAACCAAATTTTGGCAAAACCAATAATAGCATACTGTGTAAGGCCTGGTGCCTCACATAGGCTAACTCACAAGCATAATGAAGTTTGTATGCAGCACTGAAGTACCTAATTCACATTTAGTTTTCATTTGTGTTTCGTAATATCCAAATATGTAATCTGTTGATGTTCGTCTGATATGTCACAATGTTAATTCATGATTTTCCAAGCATACACTTATCTGATCTATGTATCGTATTCAGGATAGGAATGCAATGAATTCGGATCAGAATTGAAAGTGTCTACTTCATATAATGATCCTTGTGTTGTCCATAGTTTGAATTCGTTTTTGTCATGAAGTGCGATCATGAGAATCAGAGCCCAAACATAGAGCAATTATGACCACCCAACACCAGACAGCGCTGTTTTGACCCACCGCCATAAGTCTCATCAGTGTATACTGGGTCCAACCAAAAGGACTCAACTGCCCTTCAAAGTCAGGTCTGAGTAAGTAAGGGCGATGTCATCTCCCCTTGCAGAGACGACATCTATGGGATCGACAGAAAACTCAATCCTCGAATCTAAAAGATGAACGAGGCTTCCAAACGCGATCAGTTGCAAAGACAAGCTTCGACATGGACCGCAGACGAGATACGTGTTTCGGCTCTAATTTTCAACTAGTTGCCTTATAGTGAAAGCTTCAGTGGAAAACAGAGGAGGAATCTCATCGGTGGACGATACTTGGCTTGGCTTGGCTTTGCAATTGACTACCTTGATATTCGAGGACTGACTTTACTGTCGATCGCTTTGATGACGTTTTCGTGAGAGGGAGATGCCATCACTCCTACTAATACAGGCTTGTCCTTTAAGGAGAGTTGAGTTCAGCAATGCATTTGTGGTTCAACCTATCACTACTAATAAGACCTATGGTGAGTTGAACCAGGGCTGTCTGGTGTTGATTCATGAATGCATTACCTTTGGACTCTTTCAACTAGTAGCTTTGCAGTGAAAGCTGTAGTGAAAAACAGAAGACGAATCTCGTTGACGCCTTCACAACTGACCGCGTTGAGGAGCTTCGTTTATCTTTTATATTTGAGTTCTCTGTCAATCACATATAAGGCGCCTTCTTGAAAAGAGACATCATCTCTCTTTCTCGGCCACAAGATTCAGAAAATAAAATTTTTATTTCGAATCGTGTATTTGAATGATGAACCAACTTTTGACAAAACCAATAATAAACCAATAATAGCATACTATGTGAGGTCTATGTGAGCATCTTTGATGACACAACAAAACTTCAACTCATCTAATGAAACCAATATTTTTTTCGATGTTATAGGCTTTCATCTCTTAAATCATGACTTGCGAATCGATGATAACCCTGTAGAAGCAGGACTTGTGAAATTATGCAGGAAAGAAGGACAGTACTTAGGCAAGCAATCCGTTGAACGTGTCAAACAAGATGGCATCAAGAAACGGAGAGTTTTCTTTACCCTTCCAGACAATGTCGCATTATATGGATTTGAAACAATTTGGAGAGATGATGCTATCGTAGGATTCCTCAGAAGAGGGGAATACGGATTCAGCCTGGAATCTAGCATAGGCATTGGGTAAGTGGATGAGTTTTGTTTGTCGGAAACCAGATGAACGATTCGGCATTTCTATGCGAAGTTTGTTGTTTGATTGAAACAGATTTCTACTTCATCTATATCTGCGGTAAATTGACCGTTGATAGTTTCCATCGTTTGTTTGATATTATCATAATAATAAGCTCACAAGACAACCCAATTCAATTTCGAAAAAAAAATTCTGAAAATTGTTCGAATTGAATCTGTTAACCATTGATTTTGCTAAAACTGAATATAATGAATCCAAATCTAATAACTTTTCAGCTTCAAATTCAGGACCTGTTCGGATAATTGGTGACATTGAAATTGGGGTAACAGATATTATCAAAGATATAGAAATAATCATTGACGAAGATTACTTGCAAACTTCAATTTCTTCAAACAATTTTCAGAAATTCCTCATCGAGAAATGGTATATCACTTTTCAATACAATTTGAATTAAACTAGATCATTCCACGATGAGAAAAAGTAAAAAAATATAACAGAGGTCTCAAAGATGTTTGGGACCTCTAGATCTTCTACAAGTGGTTTCTCAAAATTATAAAGGGTTTTTCAATAAGGGCGGGTAGATGTTGAAATGGAATGAAACATTTATTTTTTGAACAGACACCATATTTTAATGATTTAGGAAAATGTTATAATAATATCATCTGAGTGATTGAGATCAATATACTTAATAATATTTTTCGAAATAATTTCATCAATAGAAAGATCTGGAACACGGTGTGAGCAAAACAGTGGCAGACTATTTTGTTTTGGGTGAATAGTAATGAATAGATTCTATTGGTTTTCATAAAGACATTCAATGATTCAACTGCCTTTCTATTTTTTACTTTCTACAAGATACACAAACATCTACAGTATCGAAACATTAAAAAAAAGTTCTTCAGTGGATTCCTCACAGCTCAAATGAAGCTTGAATTTCAACATTCTCGTTAGGATTGTTATGAATAGTATTATAGAATTCGTAGCCACCTCTGAATTGGAGTATGAAATGAATAAACATTTTTTACTACATATCATAAAAGTACAACAAAAAGAAAAGGGTTTCATTAAAAAATATATAGTCTATTCGATGTTCCAAATTTAAAAAAAAAACAATAGATGGACAAATGAAACAACAGAAGTGGATCACCATCAGTTGTCAACACATTTGAAACAAGTATTCAACCAGTAATTTGTATAAACCATCTGGGAAAGAAATGAAATGGTAATCAAATCAGTTAACGGGTTTCATCCAGAATCACTTCGAAATTTCTGAGGTTCTCAAAAAGGTGCAGACCTTCATGAGAGAATGTGATTGCCATTCTTCTGAAATGAAAATTCCAAGTTACTTCAACTGGACAGTTATGAAAAGATAGAAAATTTTTTTTTTTTCGATAATGTTTTTATTTATTTAATGTTTTCTTTTTCAGGTATGTTGAGCACCCGGAAGGTAAAGTTGTAGACACCGAATTTCTAAAAAGTGGAACCTACCATATAGAAGTTCGTAACAAAAAATATCCGGCAACTCTGTACCTCAATAGTCCATTCGATCCTAAGAACCAGCGGATAAGAGGTCATTATGAAAACGAATTCGAAGAACAATCGCATTTTGAAGACTGATTTTCCTAGTACAATTTTAATTTTTACTTATATTTTTGAATTTTGATACTAATTAGGTAATAAATATTTTTGGCATCAATTGATTCTACTACTTTGAAATCCCTAGTCATCGTGTTCATTGAAAGTAACCAGTGTTGAAGATTGAAATCATTCGAGAATTGGCGACATAACGAGATGATACAAAGTTCGATAAATATAATTTGAAACCTCCGGCCTGAAATGAGTCTATTGAAAACAGTTTCACCTAACCAGGACAAAAATATTGACTTTTGACGCTCCTTCTGTAAGTTAGCATCATCTCCTGATGATGCTAACTTGTTTAGATATATTTTCAATAGATGACATGAAGTAATTTTTGTTGAACTCACTGTGCAATTTATAATAACGGGAACTACTACTTTCTATTTTGGGCCATGTATCAGTATAATTTTTTAATTACTGCATTGCCATAATTATTTCTAGTGATATTGGGTCAGAGTATATTTCGAAGTAGGTATTTCATTCATTACCAGATATACAATCGGGATTCCGTGAAGGTTTAAGTTGTACAACTCGCTTTCATATATGATAGATGATGTACTCAGGATTACACACCAGAAAAATTGCACGATCTTGGCCTCTTTGGATTTTAGCCTAGCCTTTGATACTATCAAATTCTACTCGTTGGGAATATCGAACAATTCAGGTCTTTCCAGTAGAGCTATTTATTCCATGAAATCCTTTAATAAAACAAATTGTTCAGGCCAGTCTTCACTTATCTAGGTTCATTGACTCACACCTATCAGAAAACATTTACTTCCCTGGCTTATACCACAAAGGATATTGGATTATATCCGACAGGTGTCAGTACAAGATTCTTCACAGACCCAGAGCCGAAGTGCATGACCTCAATATAGGAAAAAAGGGATTACTGACACTTAAGTCATCGAAAACAAATTCCAATCGTTTCAATGGAAGAGCTCAGGAAAGCAAAGGTGAAAACAAAACACTAATTTGAAGGAGACAAATAGAAATTGATGAATAAATGAATATTTTGTGAGAAAAACGAAAATTCGCCTCACAGTAGTATAGTCGAACATACTTCCATAAATAAATTATTTCCCCTGAAAATTCAAAAACTATTTCTCTCTTCCCTAAATTTCGATCTGAATCTTGACTTCAAATGTCGAAATTTTCAAAGTTTGAAATACAATTTTTGACTTTACTCGTTATATATTCATGAATCTGGATTTGAGTTTTCTAGAAAATTATTGGAAAATAGTGATTCATATTACTTTTTGAATATATACCTATGGTTTACATCTTTCCAAAGCTTTTTTATAAAAAAACTTTCATTATCGATATTACTCTGTTCTTCAGTTTAGTTTACACATCTTCTATTCAATAGACAAAGGACATTGTGAAAATTTTCCCCTAAGTACTCTGACAAAGTCAAATGAATGAAGAGGGTTAGAAATATTCAAATGGCAATCATACTAGTATTCAATTTTTAGGTGTGATTATTGATGTGAGAAGTACGTACTCCTTACATCCTGGTTATCACACCACTAGACAAAGTTGACTTTCATTATCAGCGCAATGAATGTGTACGAAATTTCAAAGAAAATTTTCTCCAAACAGGGACAGTAACAAAAAAAATTCTGAAGTGGAAACTGGTTGATACCGCAAATCTCCCGTGGATGAAGGTACACCAACGTGATTGAAAGTGTGTATAAACTCAATTGAGATCTGTTCAAAAAATCTGCTTTTCCGTTAACAAACGACAACCCTCAGAAGTCGAAACTTGTGCGAGCTAAGGACTAACGAGGTCTTACCTTTCAACGTGTGATTCCTAACACGGGTTGGACGATAGTGATATCAGATAAATTGGACCACCTTGTAGTACTCTGTGAATATTTCAGCAACGATGATGAAATGGATGAATACAAATATCGATACTGGAGCTTCACAAGTTGCCGTATATTTCGAAAACCACGTACGCAGTAACTTAAATGAAATCATGCGTGTGTTAGTATCTTGTGATGCCATATTGTTGGTATATTTTCATCAACGGTTATCTGAATGATTGAAATCGTTCACAACAAGATGACAACCTCACAAAAAACGAATAGATAATTCATTCGGGAGGCATCTCCAAAAAAAGTCGCTCACGAACGAATAGTTTTTTAAATGAAATGAAGAGTTGATGGGACTGGTAGAGGTTTTTGTTTTTCTTACCATCAATGACCTTCAAAATATTGGCGCGTCACTTCTATCGTAAAAAGAACAAAAACCATTCTAGTGAAAATGAAAGCATTGACACAACTATTCATTCATTATAACTTGAAGTTCACAGTGGCATAGTGTGTAGATGAATTGAAAATAGGTAAATGAGAAAATGAGAAAACACGTAGGTACTCACATAAAAAATAAAAATTACACAATTTCCTTATTGCGTTTACAATAAAATAATCAGCAACGTTCCCCATCGTATTCTGTATCATCCAGATGGAGTTCTGATTCACTCTCACTGGTATTCTCTCCAACTTTCATTATGAATTCTTATATCTCATCCATGATGTGCTCCTTTTCGATATATTCTTTTTGAAATTATTCTTCTATTAGCATCCGCACATCAGCTGGTTTGAAAGAGATATTACGAACTGCTACTTCGTTCTTTACTAGTACCCATATTTTTCCTCTAGGGTTCAGCTCCGAATGATACGGTGGTAGGCGCTGTATTAGAGTGCCATGTTCTGCTAGAAGCTTGTCAACAATATATATCCCATATGGTGACTCATGCTATTCGAATATAAAGCATTTAATTCAGCTTTCAAAGTATTTTCTACAAGTATTTCGTTACGTCATAGCTGTATGATAAATTTGGACTAGGATTAACCTGAAAATTGTAGTAGGAGGCATAATTCATAACTAATACGCATTTTTGAGAGCATCAGGTATACATTCATATCTTAACCATTGTGTAAAATTTGTGGAGTACGTCATGGTAGCCGCGTGTTTTATTTTCTGATGAAAATATGTTTAATGGATTAGATAATGATCCTGATGCACATCCGGCATGTAAGATGGTAGACGTATTCCTTTGGACACTTGATATTTTGAACATTTATTCTTGTCTTTGGTACCGTATGAAAGTGTGGATGTAAGTTCCATCGCAATATATTATAGTTCATCTGTCCTTCTTCTATTTTTTTTATTTTCGTAAATATTCAGTGCGTTTAGATTCATCGTCAAATTTCTCAATCAATACTCTTCTCTTATCTTCTGCACAACTCCACCTCATTTCCATATTTTCAATAATTTTCTAAATTATTCAGGGAATCATTGGATGTTGTGGGTTCGTTGATGGATTTTCTTAGTGACTTGGAGGTAGCAGCAAATGACACCACAAGCTTTAGCTACTCTGTCTTGTAGATTACTGAGAAAAATTATAAGAACTTGTCGATTTTTCTCGCTTTACATAAACACTATGAATAATTTCTCGACCGTGACTGTGAATTAACTTGTTGTAACTGCTTATGTTTGTAGGCTATTGAGCCAAGAAAACCTAGAGAGAGATAGAGGGTGAACAAATTATTGTGTAACTTTCCTTGAGCTTTTTTACATTCAATACAAACATTACAGTAAATTATTACACCTATGCTTCAATCGTTGAATTTATTTTGTGTTGTGTTGATGCTATGAAGGGCTTACAATAAAAATGTCGGTGCAATCAGAAATAACTCAAAGTTTACCAATAATACAGGAATTTGAAAGATAATAGAATTGAAAATAACAAATGTCGTCTTGGCACGGATAATATTAGAATTGGAAATTTGAGAAAATTTGAATTACCAAATGACGGATTTTATTAGTTATTTATTCAATTTTCAATTAAGTAACTAATAGACTTTTCTGAAGGGTATTGTGTCTATTAATTCAGTTTTGGATCCATTGTTTATTGCAATTTGCTTAATGATATCGAGTTCTTCATTGAAATTATCTATTGAAAGAGAAACAGACTAGTCTATGAATCATGCTATTATAAGATGTTATTTCGTGTTGGTACGGATGGATAGAATCGTATTGAAAAGTAATACCCATATGAAAAGGTTTGTGATAAATTAAAGAATCGTGTTTGTTCTTCAGTCTACTAACTGTCAAGTCCAAGAAATTGATTCAGTTTGAATTCTTCAATGGTGAATTTAATGATTTCATGAATTTCCTTAAGTAAGGGGTTCAACGAATGTCCAATAATCAAACCTTTTTACGAGGAATAAATGTTATTGTTCAATTGAAAATAAGTTTGTTTGAGACATAATGATAGTAGGTCAATGATTTCCTTTTTCATAATTATATGAGTTCTATGCACATATATTCCAACTGGGACGCCAGCCTCGGGGGAAAAAGTCGCGCTCATGAAACAAAGTTACGTTTCCATCGCTGTTTCCCCATGCTCTTAAATTTCCGGTAGGTGAATTTATATTCAATATCAGCATTGCACCCGTGCGGAGCTGGGGCGGTTCGCTAGTGAATCATAGCCAATAAAAAATAAACAATCTCTATCATAGAATAGACTCCTAGATCACCCTATCTCACCCCATTGGACTTTTTCATATTAATTATTACTGAGGATGTTGGCTGATAACAATAACAAAAATTATGGATGTTAGGTAATATAGGCATGTGCTATGAAGATCAACAGTATTTCTATATGATAGTTAACAGAAATCAGATACAATGTCCAGTGGAATGATTCCAGGTTAAAATATATTTGTTAATTTTTTACAACTATAATGAAACCATGAAAATGCTGAACGAAATCAAAGCCTTGTGGTGAATGAATACACTTCACAAAGTATCAACCCCTTTTCCTTTCATGCAAAATATGTGGTGCAGAATATGATTAAGACGATAAAATTGAGAAGAAGCAATGTGTGCCTCATCATAGTTTTATTGATGTTTAGTTATGATGTTGCCATATTTGGCTACAGAATATATTTACAAAGAATTTGAATACGAATTGTTTTCGATAAGACATTTTCTAAGTAAATTCACATTCAGTTTCTAAATTTCTAATGGTTTTGAAAAGATGGACAACAAAAGTGTACCCTTAACAAACTCAAACTCAAAAATTTGCAATTTCAAAGTAACAGAAATGGTGACAGATGATTGGGAATATTGAAACGAAAATATTCATGAAAACGTGTGATTTCATATCAAGCTGCAGAATATTCTTCAGTAGTCAGTAGCAGATTTATAATTAGGGTGTTGCATGTACTTTATGCAACATTCAATCCTTAAAACTCAATTCAAATCTATTAAATCTTCATCGAGAGACGCTCGTTAAATATGGTGTGACAGATTTTTACTTCCCCATTTCTGTAAAAACAGGGGAAAAACTAAAAAAAAAACAAATCAATTTGAAAATAAATACTTAACAAAAACGTATGAAAAAGAGGTTTTTGTTGATTATTTCAATTATTTGTGTTTTTATATTTTTGTCAAGACTGAAAAATTCTGCGAACAAACGAAAATATTGGCCTATAAGAGAAAAGAGAAAATAAATAGTACAAAAATGATGAATCTATGTTAACATTCATCTCGTTGATAGTTACTGTTCAAAATCATTGAAAAAACACGGTATTCATATACTGTGAAAGTATTCATGAATAAAAGAAAATATCAGTATACAAATTCTTTCATTGTAGCTAAATGCCAAGGGAAAAATCCGAGATCAATATTTTCTAGCCCTAGGTACGATACTCACATTGGATCATTCAACAGTTCACCTATACAGGCCGTTTCTTTTATCATGTGATATATTCTGAACCGTAACAGATACGAAGACGATTAAATGGGAAAAAAGGTAACTGTCATCGGAAACAATACAATGGTCGATGAAAATTTACGGGGACTCTCGCCCTTCTCGAGTTATGCGGGGAAAACCAAAAATGCTGTTTTTCTTTTTTTTTTCGAATGGAATTGTTGTTTCGTAGAATATCAAAACATGGAAGAAGAAAATGTAATTATATTCGAAGTGTACTATAACGATGTGATAATAAATATTCGATAAAACGTTTCGTGTCAACATGGCCACTATCAACTTCTTTTTTTAAATAGGGACCATTACAGATATTGATAAAGTAATAAATTCACAAACCAAGGGTTTATCACATTTGATATTTGTATAGCGTTTCATTCGAAATAACTACCACCATCAGTGACAACAATTTTAAATTACGGTCCTGTCGTTATTTCTTCCGTAAATTGTTTCGATTTCTTCAAAATATAATTCAGAAATTCCAATGAATAGGTACCCTAACACAATGAAAATTAGTACTTTTTCGTTTTATAAACTTTTGTATTGCCGTAATCCTTCTTTTAAGGCTTATTTCTTCCTAATCAATTATAAAATCGTATTTTTTTATTATTCTCAATCCTGGAAGTAACAAAAATATCAGTTTTTGGTCTAAATTCGATTGTTGTATAATTTGGTATAATGAAATTGCATCTCAATCCATTTACCATCCTGAACACGTAGGCTTTGCTTGGTTTCTATGGCAAGAAAAATGAATGCGTTGTTGACATATGTTGAGAACTGTAGACGTTTATGAACATATCAAAGATATATTCAAATGATGAAAGGACTGACACGCTATTTAGTTATGCAAAATCAAATTGAAATCCTCTTTTGGCAAGTAATATGTATGTTGAGCTATAGCTGAATCGTCGTGTTCCGCACATCCCAATGTTTAGACGATTAGAAAAAAAATTGAGGAAATATGGTGCATTTGACAGAAAGACATAAGATAATGTGTGGTTACTGGAAGTGTGAGGAATCAAATGAATGTTAAGCAAATATTATCACATGAAAATTTACACAGTGGAAAAATCTTTTTTTGAATGTAGGATTGGCCAGTTACAAAAATTATGCTAATCAAGATTGTTTTTCACGAAAAATTGCCCACGAAATGGGAATTTCTGTAAAATCCACCGGAACAATTTTGAAAGAGAACAAATATAAATGCTATAGGATATGCAAAGTTCATCTCCTCAATGAAACGGATGGAGAGTACGATTTGCGAAGTGGTTAAGACGTAGAAATAGGGAAGTTGGAAATATCTGTAAAAAATAATATGGACGGATGAATGAAAATTCACCAATGATGGTTAGTTCAACAGAAATATCCATTATAGGTGGAATGATACAAATGAACAATTACATAGGGAAACCAATTTCCAAGATAGGTGTGGAATAAATGTTTGGTTGGGAATTGTGGGAACAAACATCCTTGGCCCTTTCTTTTACGATTATCATTTGAATAGTGAAATGTATCTTCATTTTCTATTCAATGAATTTGATGACTACTTAGATGAATCGGCACTGAATATCCGCCACGAAATACAATATTTCCAACAGAACAGCGCTCCTCCCCATAATGCAGCAATAGTAAGGGAACATATAGATGCAATATTACCAATAAAATGAATTGGAAACAATGGACCAATTAATTGGCAAGCTCGATCCCCAGAACTTACTCCTTTAGATTTTTTGTTTGGGGATACATAAAAGATAAAGCTTTTCCAACACCAAATACAAATATCGACCATCTCAATCAAAAAATAAAAGATGCATGTATCAGTATCACACCTATTATGCTAGAAAATTGCCAGAGAAATTGTCTGGACCGACAACTTATGTGCATGCAACAAAGAGGTCGTCAATTCAATTATTTAATGTAGATTACCATGTAACTTTGATTCTCTGTTAATATGAAAAACAGCATTTTTGGTTTTCCCCGTATAACTCGAGAAGGGCGAGTGCCCGTAAATTTTCTTCAACCATTGTATTGTTCTCGATGACAGTTACCTTTTTTCCCATTTAATGGTCTTCGTATCAGTTATGGTTTAGAATATAGCAATGTTACCACATGATATGTGGTGTAATCATGTATAATGTATGTGTAATCATGAGAATCCCAAAGAAGAAAATATCTAGTATCTTCGGCAACTCTTGACTGTTTACTTCTACAACTTCCTTTTAAACTGCCAGTATATGTTTAGTAATGCAAACTACGCAAAAGTTGAGTAAAGGCATCATCTGTCAATTTATTCGACTTCACAATTGATTTTTGACTGTCGCGGGTTTCCGATTTTTTTCTAGGATCCCCTGTAGAAAATTTCCACTTATGTTCGCCTATGTTTCACTATCCCTCTGTGGGAGTGTCGTCCTCATCAAAGTTTCTTGGGATTTCCTGATCCAAAACAGAATTGGAAATTACAGTGTAACTCAACTTTTATCCTTTCATTCCATTCACTCCAGTTATGAATCATATTCTAATTTCGAACCCATCTTTTATTTGGAAGTACAATTTTGAACAGAGCCTGATTTTCATAATTACTACTCCATTACATTTCAGCTTTTGATGGCAGGATATATCGTGAATAATATTCAAACCTGGAATTGTTTAATGGATGAAAACAGACCCGTGAATGACCCTGTTCAGAATGAAACGTAAATAACTGTGACAGAAATGACATATTTATTTTGACATGCCTGTCAAACTATCACCTTTGACCGTCACTTTGTATGTCAACATAAAATTGCTATTAGACCACTGGCAAAGTTTTTTTAGGTTTTGGTTACTTAATAGTGTTGCCTCGAAATGGATGAGGATAATTGGAATTTGCCAAGGAACCTGCCAAACGTAAAATGAATAGAATTGTTAGAGGTGACAGTTAACCTAAAAATATCATTCTCAGAGACCAAAACGAAGTGATTCTTCAAGAGCCGGCGGTTCCCCTAGAGCACGAGGTTCAAGAATAACCCCTCTGAATATGGCTAGAACTCCACCGTTCATAGATGATGCAACAATCAGCGCGATGATAACCAGTGGAATGTTGGACACCTTGGGTTCAGTTAATTTTGCGCAAGTAAGATACATATTTTATTATCAAGATTGATTGATAATCCTGTAGATATTTCAAGAAATCATTTCCCGAAATGATTTCAGATCATTTACTACTCATTGATGAAAACCCAGAACTTCATTGTTATTCATTATATAACGGGTGAATGAAATTCGAGTCGATGCATGGAAACTCGGAAAGAGCCAGACAAAAATCAGATTTTGGGAAAATTATACTTTAAGGGATACTCACGGATTTCCACGATATTTATGGGATGATACTACATGATGGTAGAAATTCAGAACACTCTTTATTTTCAGTCAGGCTCAATTAGTTTTCGAAATATAGCCTGTAAAAGATAGTTTTTTCAAGTTGAGTATTCGAAAATACTTTCGATTTCGAATTTGGAGGTCAGGTTAGATGTTGAGGAGATAATTTTTCCAAATTAAATATTCGAAAATACGCTCCTTAATGGCGCCGCGCGAAATTCTTCCTAAACTAACCCGACCTAATCTAACTCAACCTAACCTACCCCGACAACATACAGATTTTGACAGAGTATATCTCGAAAATTAATTAAGTTCGACTAAAAATAAAAAGAGTTCTGAATTCCTACCATCTTCTAGTAGTATCACCCAGAAAAAATCGAGAAAATTCGTGAATATCCCATTGAGTAATATTTAATTTTTTTCATAAATGGCATTTGGAATATTGAAATTTAGTAGAGAGAGAACAGCTAATCAAGAAAAGACAATCGCTTGACCAACAGTTGAACAAATGCGCACATCAATATTTTTCAATATTCTATTCATCCTTGTCATTTATTCTTCTCATTCAAGGTATTTGTGTTATATACCTAAGCATCTGGCAGATTCTGGAATTTCAATCTTATTTCTAGAAACTTGGCAATTAGAGAATGAAAAGGAAAAGAAAAAGATGTGTTAACTGAAAAATATGTGAATTGCAATCGTTCATCACATTATTAACAAAATAAATGATATAATGAAGAAGAAAGTAATACAAATCATGAAATTATGAAACAACAAAAATAAATTGGCGCTCCGGGGCGACTTCATTGATTCCATTGGCGCATTTACATTTTAAGCTGCAGGAAAATCCGGAAAAATCTGTAGCACCATATCATCTGCAGATCTTGATCGTTTATTGTTAAAAATAAAGTTAGAATATGACATCATACACATTTTGAAAGGCTATATTTCGAAAACTAATATAATCCGACAAAAAATAAAAATTGTTGTGTATTCCTGTAGTATCAAAGCAGAAAAAATCGCGAAAATCCGTGAGTATCCCATAAAGAACAATTTAGCCTTTTGATGTTTCAGACTATCAATCTTGCAAATGAAGTTTGTGTCTTGAATCAGGCGGATAGTTCTTGTCTGGCTGGAATCAAACAATCAATGCAAATTTCTCATATATTTTTCCAATTTTCATTCGAAAACATATGTATCTCATTTCTCATACCATGATCCTATTGTCGCGGTCTTCAATCAACCACAGTAATCACTGATATATTTAATAATGCAAATAATGAAAAAAAATGGAGCTCATCATGGAAAACGAGATATAAAACTTCCTATGTTTTTTCAACCACTTGTTTTTGTAACTAATGTCTGCAGTAACATTAGTCCTACAAAGGTAATTTGAAACGAATTTCCAAATTATACTGCTGAACTATATCACTTGTAATGTTTTTCAACTCGATAGATGAGTGATAATGGTTTTTCGATGGAATGGAGCTGAACAGTAGACCGCTTAGGATATTAAAATTTTGATGTTTCATGTCGATTCAATAATGAATACTACGTATTTTGCAGTGATTTTTTATCACCTACATTCATTCATTTTTTAATATCTGACAAAAATTCACTCTCTTCGCGAACACAATTGTTCGCTGATTCAGCTATTCTGTCGAACTGAATTTCCGAATAGAATAGAATAGAATAGAATAGATAAAAGAGAACAATGAGATAAATTTTTTAGATCTGACAATATCCAAAAACAATGATAAACTCGACTTTAACATTTTCCGAAAAAACACATTCACAGATTGCACAATACCTTTTGACTCTTTTAACCCGATTTCACAGAAATTGTCTGCATTCAGGTCAATGATACATAGGGCTTTCACAATACCCCTTTCTGATCNTTCCATTGTTAATTTTGAAACTACATTTCAATATGATTCACTAGTATTACCTGAATTCACCACTGATATTATTTTCTCTTTGAGATGGATAGTAATTTATTATATTTTCCTACAGCTATTTGAATTCAGGTAAACCTGTTGTTAAAATGAAGTATTACACACTTAAGATGGAAACACTCTTGTTTTGTCATTTTTGAAAGCAGATATTCGATTTCTGGTACAGGCATAGACCGTCAGAGGCCGCACTTTTCGCAATACTTAGCACGAGTAACAACTGCAAACCCAGCCTAGTGCGATCCAGCTAAAAGTGCAAATTATCAATATTTTGAGTAAAATTATTGTTCTACTGTCATTTTGACAACATATTGCACAAATTTATCGATACAGAATTTTTGGTTTAATAGAAACTTCACGTTCAAACAATGCAACAAAAGCACATACAAATGGTCATGTGCATGCAGTCTAAATAATCATTTTGATGCCTTTTATGTTCTTTTCAACATATATATTGCAACACCTGTTTTTGTAACTACCTGAAATCGATGTAGACTGCACGGATGCGGTCTACATCGATTATCGGAATAATCTTTTGGAAAAATTCAATTCAGTAAAATTTCATCTCTATTTGATTATTCCGACACTTTGAAAAGTTATTTTCAAATAATGCTAGAGAGAAAATGATATAGCTTTCCTGAATAATTATATCATTCAGTTCAGAGTCCCAGTCAGGCAAACCATCGGCACCATAAGTCAAAATAACGATCAACTTGGACAAGCAGAAGACCATAATTTGGGATGGATACCGAAAAATATCAATTTATCCAGTTTGATCAGCCAAAATCAGGTGAGTTTTCTCTTAAATCAATTGAAATGCGGAGATTACAGGGATATGTCATATTTTCCATTGTTAAAAATAATTTTTCATAGCCTTCATAAAAAAAGATCGATAATTATGAATATCTTCCAGTGACAATGAATTTCATCCACATGCAGCATGAATTATTTTATTGAGTTGTTTGGATTTAGAAATTTTTCAAAATTTCCGAGTTTAAAAAATTTTGAAAATTTGACTATGAAAAGTATAAGATGTAAATTGAAAGTGGACATAGTGTAAAAACGATACGAGTTATTATGTAGTAAAGCATGATTTCTGAAGGAATTGTGGAAAGACCATACTGAACAAAAATTTAAATTCAAAAAATGTTCATTTCTTCGAATTCAACTTGTACTATTTTGCCATCTGAATTATGAATTCAATTGAATTTGTAGTGGAGGAAGCAGTCGAAGCAGTCAAGCTGCTGGAAAATAATTCCATGAAAACTACTTTTCTGGTCATTCTCATTCCCATATTGATTTAAATGAATTGAAATCAATATGGGAATGATCAGAAAAATAGATACTTATCTATCTATTTTTTTGATTTTCATGGAATTATTTCCCAGCAGCTTGACTGCATTAACCTTTCTCGATTCCATATCATTTCTAGATACATGTGGATTCATTTTCCATGGCATTAGCTTCCCAATCACCAACACAACAACAAGTGTTACATGCTCTGTTATACTGGTAAATATTTCGGATCATGAAGCTGTCTATAGTGAGGTAAAACTCAATTATAACACTAATGAAGAAAAATTTTAATTTGGAAGGTTGTTCAGTGAAACAAACTACAAAAAATTTTATAATATATGTTTAAATATGGACTGGAACTCTGTGTTATACTCTGGTGATCCTTTTCTTTCTTATCAATTGTTTTGAATTATCATTTCCTGAGCAGAAAAATAAAAACGAAATCAAAAAGGCTTGGCTAACTATAGGAATTCGTATTTCTGCCAAGAATCTGAAAAGCCTACATTACATTAAAAATTCACCGCTAGTACACACTTTAATCAGTACTACAATAAATTCAGAAGCATCTATAGAAAAGTTGTAAAAGCAGCAAAAAGTTGCTACTACCATGATA